AGAGAGAGAGAGAGAGAGAGAGAGAGAGAGAGAGAGAGAGAGAGAGAGAAAAGCAACAACAATAACCGTGCTCCGTTGATATGAAAACCACGCTATTCGCACCATCACAGACTAAATTTCATTCTGTTTGCTCAGTTTATGGTAACTGGCGATGTCAATTCATTCTTTTCATTCAACTAAACAAACAAAATAAATATAAAATATTCATTATGTTTTCGGTATAGTTTGTGACCTCCGAAGTTCTGTTTCGGTTCCGAAATAATCTCATATCTAAAAGTCAATTAAATCGATGGCTTTTTTCTTTGCGCTAGTGTACGAGAGATTGAGAGAAAGTCATAAAATGTGATTTAATTTGGCAGCGATAAACTGGAGCGGATAAATCCGGTTAATACATATTATTGTTTTTTTTTTTAATGCGAAGAGTCAAACATATATAGTTAGCGAACTAAAAACGCTTCACCACGCACCGATGAACTAATTAATGAACGCATTTCAAATGCAACAATTGCAATTTGAAAATTATATTTTAATAAATTATTGTTGAAATTAGATCAAAATTTGCATAGTTAAACAATAAATAATGAATTGAATTTGCTTTTCATAGCGAAAAAATGTTCGAAAAAGAAAAAAAAAATGGGTAAAAAAGACAAATGATCGAATCCTAACGATTGTTTCGGGTCAAATTTATTTGATACATCAAATCGAATAAACAATATTTTTTGTTTATCTAATATAAAACCAAACCCATTTGTCGTTCATGATTTTCATGTCCAACATAACATCACTTTATTCCGCAAAATTTTTCATTTCAAGATGGTCATTTTTCAATACCAAACTCCATTGTCAATCAATAGCCATGTCAGAATCGAATTATATATGCTACAAGCATATTTCCATTCCTTGCTGAATTTTGTGTTCAGCACTCAATTGAAATCACATCAATTTCAAGTGTATTATCAACAAATGATGTTGATATGGTGTGCTTGTTCAGCTTCTTCTGTTGTATTTTTGCGTGTTGCTTTTTCATGCAATTGAAAATGTATTTGACTGAATGAAGGTGACTGACTGTGTGTTTTATACAGCGCCAACAGAATAGCCTTGTGCAAAAACATTCGATGCAAAATTGATCTCACCGATGATGACAACAACAACGATAGTCAAATCATCGAAATATTCTCTCCAGCCGATGATGGGTCGTGTTTTGTATAAACCATGATTCGCTTTTGCACTATACACATTCCCTTTGGTGCAATAGCTACTGTTCGAATGTGAGAGAAATATTCTCGCCCGCTCTCAATACAAATTGCGTGCGACAGAGTGAGATGGAGAGAGTGTGAGCTCATTTAAATTCAAATCATGTCACTTGAATTCATCAGATTAACCTAATGGTATAACTTTGATTCGATTTTTTGAGCCGATTTCATCTTGAGTATTCGTTACACGTAGACGCTATTTCTTTCGCGCTGCTTGCCTCTCTCTCTCTCTCTCGCTCTGGGTCTAGCTGTTGCTCTCATTCTCTTCTATTCTAACTTTTGTATCCGACTTGTGCCCTGTCGTATCAACGTTATATTCGATGATTTCCGTTTAAATGCACTGATATTGCCCTCTGGGCACTGAAAAACGGTGCAAACAAATATTCTGCACGGTATATATATGTGTGTGTGGATGTTGTTCATTGACAATTCATTTACATGTTTGATTTTGCGCTTCACTTTTCGCATCGCTTTCTTTTCTGTGTATTGTGTGTTAGCGGGCGGAGTGGCAAATTGAATTTAGATAAGGACTTTCTTAAATCGGAATAAAATGAGGATGGTACTCATCATCATCATGGAAAGTGCAAAGCAGTGAAGATGTCGTTTATTGAATATAATTACCACGGTTCGGAGTGGGCAGCAATGGCAGCGCAATGAGAGTGGTTGAACGAAATGTAAATAAAGAGTTATTCATTGGGAAACTTGTGCCGAAATTAGTTCTCAAAAGTGATGCTGATTAGTCGAAATGAATCACATAAAAGCGAAGAAGCGATTTTTTTATTACTTTTTAACATAAAGTTTCTTCTTCCTTCGTTGTTGTTTATCATTCATGTAACCTTTTGCCTGCGTAACAATTGCTTTAGATTTTTTTTTCTCTTTCGGCAAACCGTTTGTCGCAAACGCCTTAGCATGGCAATTGCTTTAGTTTAGTCGGAATTCCACTTGCTTTCATATCAATTGGCATGATTTCATAATTTGAACGCATCGTCGCCCCGCTTCTGACTTTGCCACCATTCAGTTTTTATGGCGCTTTTTTCATTTTATTGCCATATTCGAAATGGATAGCTGGTTAAAACTATTTGCCATATATTGGGTGAGCATTCAAAATGCACTTAGCATTGAATGGTCCCTAAATTGTGGTTACACACTTGTCAATTCAATGTGCATTTAGTTGGACCGCTTAATCATATTCAAATCGGTTGGCTGTATGCCGTTCGATGCTGCTTGTTATGAGAAGCAAGATTTTTGGCTACTTCAATCATGCAAGTCGAGCGCACTGAAATTGTGCTGTAGACACTTTGTCGCAAATAAATTTATTACATTAACTTAATGTGTGCGTGTGTTTTGGGTTTGGTCGGTTATTTCTTCGATGTTGCCTCACTCTTCTGGTTGGGCTGGGTTGATGTATTGCCGCGGCACCATTGTTGTTGTTGTGGTGCCTCACACCAATCTAATCAAATTAAGTGCATTGTGTTGTCACACACACACTCACGACAGAAAAAAAGAGAAGTTAAATCAAACCGAAATCTCATAATGGGTTTTCATGTATGTACCATCATTGGACTTGATGAGCATTTTCCATACACTAAAACCACTTGCCAACCGAACGGATGTGTGAGAAAATACGCGCATTTTGTTTTGTACCATAAAAAGATTTGCACACATCAGCAAGTCAAATAATAACTTTTTTTTATTATCTCGTATTTTTCTATCGTGTTTTCTTTCCATTTCGTCTTCATTCAATTGAAGAACTTCTGCAAGCGATACGCTTGTCATACATTTTCTTTTCTTTCACAACGAACGCCATTCGCATATAATGCACATTATTCAACTTCTAATAGATCGTTAGATTATCATAAATAGTTTCACATAATTCATATCATTGTCATAACATTCAAAGCCACTCTTTCTCTTCGCCAATATTTGCCGCATACAAGTTTAGAATAGTTTCTGTTCCCTTCTTCATTTGTACGTTGCATTGAAAAAGTGTCTATCGAATGGAAATTTAATCAAGTTTTTGTGCCATAAAAACTTTTCATCGTTGCAGAAAATTGAAGAAAAAAAAATGATTGAGCAATCGCTTCGTATCAACTTTCAAAGAATACGCGTAAACAACATTTCATACTCCAAATCCGAATTGCTGTTCGAAGAATCTACGGCATTTACTACGTGCAACGAAAAACCTTTCAAATTCATTACGAAACGACAAACTCAGCTCTAGTACATCTTTCGTTGTGTCGTTGTATGTGTCAAATTGGTAGGCACTGTGATGTTGTCATAAACAAATTCAACGCAGAAATATTTGCATTATTTGTCGTAAAATATTAGGAGAAAAATGGGTGAACCAAGTACGTTCCCAGTGTTTAAAAAGGCCACCCTCGAAGACAATTCAATTGGAAATAAAAAACGCGCATGGAAGTCACTCAAACAGATTTTAGCCACGGAACGAACACTACAATGGCCTGAGAATGCAGTTACATGTAAGAGTGCCTTGTTTTCATCCAGTGTTCTCAATGAAAATTCATGATTTTACTGAAATTCATAACTTTATTTACAAATATGCTCTGTTTTTTTGCCATCAGACTCATCGATCAATGCTCCACCGTCATTTTTACCAGCCAAAAAATACTCCGACATCTCGGGATTGATTGCACCGTACACTGATCCACAGACGAAACTTAATTTTCACAACGCCGAGGAATTTGTTACCGTACGAAGCTTGCCCAGCGATCTCACAGCCGGCTATTTATCTCTGCGTGGTGCCAGCAGTATCGTCGGATGAATTCAATTTACATTCATAAGTCAAATTAAGATACAAATTTAGAACCAATAGCAAATTGAAAATGTCAACGAGTACATCAACAAACCTTGTTCAATGTCCATAATTCAATTGATATTTAAGAGACATTTTATAATGTCAACTTTTGAAATTCAATTTATAGCTTGAAATGTACTTTCAGTAGTGTGAAGAATATTGCTGTTGATAAAAATTGTTGTGAAAACAAACAGATTTTTTTGAATATCTGAATCCATTTCAATTTGTTGATATGATATACAAAACTAGCTTGACTGAAACTAAAATCTTCATCAGTAATTGCATTTTTTTTTATTCATTTTATTAGAAATAAAACTAAACTTGACCTAAAATCGATGAGTTTGTCAGACATGAAAAGAATGTGAGTCAATTTTGAGGAAAAAAAAATGCTAAAACTCACAGAAAAGAATGCGCTTCGATTGAATAACGATGACCATCCGGCAAACAAGAGACCGCTATAGTATGGCGGCCATACGTCGAATCAGTGTTGCTGTAAAAGGTTCATACTTACAGTACATCTCAACACACCGCATAGAATGCGGCATAACACATCACAAAGCAACACAAATCGGTATATCGCACCACTCACAGTCGGTGCAAATGCAAAATCGAGTGAAGTTTACCGTACGGTATGCTTCCTTTCCATCTCTCTCGCACTTATGCTGCTTGCTCAAATGAAAATTTACCAGATAACCAAAGCAAAATTTTTCGAATAAAACAAACTCGATCGACGTCGTTGACTGAAATATTTATTTCACTGAATTTTGGAATGGCGATAGAACAAAAAAAAATCGCAGTTCGCACAAAATGTTGGATTGTTTATTGTCGTTGAGACTGTGTCTTCCACAAAGCAGCAGCATTCATGCCGACTAGAGAGAAAAAATAAACGAGAGCAGAAAACATACAGATTTAGTTGTTATCGCAATGATTTTTTTTTCTTGAATTTTCAGACACAATCCCAATGCAAAAAATTGAATTTCAATCATACATACTTTTTGTGTCGTTGTCAGCTTAGTAAAATCGTTGATGGTTTTGCATTTTTCTCCCCCTCAATCAGTTTGGCGCCGGTGAATTGTTCTTTTTTTCTTTACTTTTTGTTTTTGTAGTAACAGTAATTTTTGACGTGACGGTAATATTTTTCTTCGTCATCACATTGATGTGTTCCACAAATGCAACATAGAAAATTGGCCGCAAATTTCAAAAGATGATCGCGGAGTTCTTCGTGGCTATCAAATTTGGTTCGACCTAGGGAAAAATCACAGAAGAAAAAACGCAAATAATGAGAGTTAATTAAACGCAATGACAAATCAATGAAATTATTGAAAATGTAATCAATTTGGTAAATAAGAAATGATTTTCTTCTTGGGTCTTACATAAACAGCATCCACTTTCGATTTTTTTGTGTTCGTGCAATGCGTAATTATTGAAATCGTACAAACAGTTTGGACATCTCTTTTTGGAGGTGTCAACCACTGTTGTTCTATCCACAAAACGATTTGTCGACCTGGCATTGGTTGAAACCGATGGCACTTGATCAGAAGTTTCCAATGGCGGCGATCCGAATAAAAGTCGTCTGATGAGGTCGTTGTCGATTAAATGAATTATCTGATTCTCATTTGTGGACATATCAAGAAGTGGCCGATACAGTAAAGATTTGTGCATCAACTCTTCCTTTTTTCCCTCCATTTTTAATAAAACACACTCTTTTGAAAAAAAAAAAACTGTTGAAAATATTATGTTTAAGAGCTGATAGAAACGCTTGGCTCGAGAGCTACACACAGAATGACTATGCTCTCTTTCAAAACGGACGCTGTGACTATTTTGGCGCGATACAAACACATACATAAAAATGTAAAATCAACAGTCGGAATATAGGTACAACACGTTGGTATGAAAAAGAATATTGTTTGAGTGAATAGCGGTAGCCATCTGATGAACAAGAGGAAAATATACGAATACACGCATCAATGTTGTTGTGAAAGGTTGATACTTACACTACATCTCAACACACCGCATAGAATGCGGCATAACACATCACAAAGCAACACAAATTGTTATATCGCACCACTCACAGTCGGTGCAAATGCAAAATCGAGTGAAGTTCACCGTACGGTATGTTTCCTTTCCATCTCTCTCGCACTTCTGCTGCTTGCTCAAATGAAAATTTACCAGACAACCAAAGCAAAATTTTTCGAATAAAACAAACTCGATCGACGTCGTTGACTCAAATATTTATTTCACTGAAATTTTGGAATGGCGATAGAACAAAAAAAAATCGTTAAAATTAATATCACCAATTGTTGAACATTGTCATCACAGGGTCGTCGGTGCAGCGTTCGCACAAAATGTTGAATTGTTTATTGTCGATGAGGCCGTGTCTTCCACAAAGCAGCAGCATTCAAGCCGACTAGAGAGAAAAAATAAACGAGAGCAGAAAACATACAGATTTAGTTGTTATCGCAATAATCTTTTTGTATTACGTCTTCGTTTTTGAATTTTTCAAACACTGTCTCATTGTAAAAAAAAATTGAATTTCAATCATACATACCTTTTTGCGTCGTTGTCAGCTTAATCAAATCGTTGTTGGTTTTGCATTTTCTCCTTCTCAATCAGTTTGCCGTCGGTGGATTGTTCTTTTTTTCTTCACTTCTGATTTTATTGTAACAGTTTATAATGTGTTTATCGAATTTTTTGTCATTTTCGTATATTTTTCCCTTTGAAGGTTTGTCATGATGGACACAACAACAGCACACACGTTTCGCAGGGAATTGTTGAGCATGCTCACGGAGCTTTTTGTCACTATCGAATTTCTTCTTACAAACACAGCATTGGCCATCAACTCTGTTGTTTTTGTGTAATGTATAGCCAGTTCTATTATTAAACCATCGAAAACAATTGGGACATTTGCAATTGCCAGAAGGCTTATGCGTCGTTGTTGTATTAACATAACGATTTGTCTCAGTTTCGAATTCCGGTTCAGGCACTTGATCAGAAGTTTCCAATGGCGGCGATCCAAATAAAAGACGTCTGATGAAGTCGTTGTCGATTAAATGAATTATCCGATTCTCATTTGTGGGTCTATCAAGAAGTGGCCGATACAGTGAAGATTTGTGCATCAACTCTTCCATTTTTCCCTCCATTTTTATTACAATACACACTTTGGAAAATTTGTTGAAAATAGTATGTTTAAGAGCTGATAGACGTGCTTGGACCGAGAGCTTCAAACAGAATGATACACTATGCTCTTTTTCAAAATGACGCTGTATGATGCATTTTGGCGCGATACAAACACTTAAACGGAAATGTAAAATCAACTGTCAAAACACAGATACAATTCATGGGATGTGCAATGAAGTTGTACACAACGGGATACTTAACGATGAAAAGTATTTCGGAAAAAGAAACTTAAGAAATGAACAGAAGAATATTATTGAAAACAAAACACCCTGTTTATCATACATATTTTCTTTTATTTAAAATTTCAAATTATTCACATTCGAGCCGTGTTCGGCTCGTGTCAATTTTTTTTTCTGGAATATTTTACTATAAATACATATAGACTATCATGTTTTTAATACTTAAAATCAAAGGGTTTGTTTCTTTTGTTTTCATGTTGAGTTAAAAAGTGAAACGGAAAAAGGAGGAAAAATGGAAAAAAATTTACATCATTGAACAATTCTGGTATCATATTCAATACGTCAAATACGTTTGTTCACTAAAAACGGTTCAGTAATAAAAAATTTTATCGGTGCAAAAACATCTAACCATTTGCATTCAAAATTTGTATTTGTCAATGTTATCTTCAAAAGAAATTGAACATTTCATACACACCAAACAAAAAGAGAAGTCTTTTTTTTATGTAAAAAAGAGACAGAAGAACGCAATGCCGTAGAAGAACAAAGTTTGTCTAAATAAATTTCTTGAAAATGATCAGCATTGTTTAATAATTGCCATGCAAAATGGAAGTACTTAGTTTAAATGCTTCAGTGAATTACAACGAAACGGATCGAATAATCAATTTTGTTTTAATTCTTCGGTTGAATCACGATCATTTTCAACACCGAGCAAGAAAATTGTGAAGAAAAGAAAAATTCAAAATGTGAACATGCGTCGATAAAAATGAGAATTTTAGTGTTTGAGTTTGGCACTTTTATCAAGATTCATTTTTTTTTACATTTGAATTTCATCAACGAAACAAAAGCAAAACTTTCAATCGGCTTCGTTTTTTTTTTGCAATCATTCCATTCAATCCTTTTCAACCGTTATTTTTTATTATCATCTCCCTCACTCGCTGTCTTGCAATCTCTTGATTTGCAATCAACCTATCACTAAATTATATAGATTGTTTTTCTTATGTGAGATTTTCAACAATACCTACGATTTTATATTTCGATTAAAAATGTTAATTTTAAGGACAATTTCTAGCACACAAAAAAAATCGAACAAACAAAAAGAATCTCTTTTACAAAGATATAAGTTTTTATGCGTTAAAGTATTTTGTATGTTCCATTGCAAAAAAATTGACACGGTTTCCGGGTGCACCGATTGGGGCCTAATTAAGTTAACGTTGTGTAAAAAATCTTTCTTAAAAAATGAACAGGAAAAAAAACCGATTCAGTAATAAATAAATTTGCTTCCGCGATGCAAAAACGAAGAAACCAATTCGTTTTTAGTTCGTTTGTCGTTTGAACACTCAATTTTTTGCACCATTTCATTTTGCTAGGACAATTAACAGACAGATTACGTTGCTATTTGGAGAAAATCTCATTCGTGGACTGGATTAAGTTAAGTTGATCGATAAAAATTTGTTGCTCATAAAATTGGACATGTAATTTCTCGTCTAGGGTTCAGTTTGTTAGGAATTATGTATGTGTGTGTGTGTGTATTTTTAGTTTGTTTTTTTTTTCTTTAAAGAGGCCAAGCAAATGTAACAAAATAGAGGCATTTATGCTTTTTCTTCACTTCGACACTCGAAGTCAAACACCTAATTGAGTGGCATAATAATGTTTCATCTCATTGTATGTACACAAATTGTTTGCTCTTAATTGCTATAAAATAAGTTTTTGAATATTATTTCTGGGTTTTCTTTCATTTTCTTTCCATTTTCGGTTTTTCGTTTCATTTACATTATTGCACAACCATTCTTTGCATCATCATCGTGTTCGTTTTGTTCAATCGCATCATTGCTCGTTGAATATTCGTTGATGGCCGCCTGTCGCGAATACTTTTGCCGAATGCGACTGATATCAATGTGCGGCTCCGACATGGATTTATTCAATTTTTGACGATTTCCACCGGTAACATTGCCACTAGCACGCCGGTGTTCAATCGTTGTCTGTGGCTCAATCGCTGTCTTTGTTATGGACATGTTTTGAGTCTGCAACGAACAGAGGAAAAAAAACGTACTCAAAAGTTGAAATTTTCCGATTTTCAGTCTTCAACTGAGAAGAATGAAGAATTCATCATCGTATTGAGAATTGTGTTTACTCACATTTTTCACATGATTGGTCATGCCATCGGCACCACGGTTGAATTGCATTTGCGGCTGTCGTGCGCCGAGTGGCGGCATGAAATTTGGAATCGATTCCTGTTGAATCACAAAACGATCCAAAAGGTTCACCTGTGGCTGCAGCATCATCATAAATGGACGATAGCCCAAACTGCAATTTTAATTAATCACACAGAGGATTTTTCAGATTATTTTTTGTTTCGCAAAATTTGCCCAAAAAATATCGAAAATATATTCTTACCATTCCTGAAAACTCCATCGTGTCACATCTTTCAATCCATTTCGAAGCTGCCGACATATAGCCAACGATCCCGATCGAATAGCAGAGCTAGTAATTCGACTGATCGATGCCGCATCCATTAGGATAATTGACAACAGCAGTGCGAAATCAAAGCAACACGCTTCCGTGAATATTTGAAGTAAGTATCGGGTTTTCACTTCAAGCTTATGACAAACTTGTCGGCTATTCTGCGTGACCAGTGATTCCATGTTTCGATCAAAGCTGCCATCCAGCTCTGCGTTGAATGTGCACGTGTTGTCCTCGCCCCAAACTGAAACTTGCTCCGACACACAACTCATCGTGTCGACGGGCATGAGTTTGGCTTCCGTTTCACCCAGGACTGAATTGCTTGGCTCACGTCTAAATGCATCAAATCTTGATGCCACCGACATTTTCCCACTATTTGACGGCTGATTTGATCGACCATCATCCTCTTCACTAATTCGGCCCAGTTCATTGAACTTCCCAGACAATTGTTGCAACGCCAAATTCGAAATTTCCGCATTGTACATGTACAATGGATCGGTTGCTTGACTCGAATCCATCGATGACATTGCACTGTTTACAAACGCACTCGGGTCAGCATGCATGAAATCCAAATTCGTCGGAAGGCTTGTGTATCTGATGGAAAAATTGAAGAAAGTTGATCATACTAATCAATAAAAATGTACAAAAAAAAAATCCTTTGGATTAACTCTTACCCTGAATCTCCCGTGCCCATGTGAGTGTCAACACGCAGCGACTGCAACGAATAACTCGGTGACTCTTGCTGTTGCTGTGCCTTCTCTGATGATTTTCGACTTAATTTGATATCCAAACTAGGTTTAGGCCAATCGAAATCGTCATGAAGTTGTTTCAATGTAGCAACAAAATCCTCGATACGGGCGGCTCGGTCTTTTTCACGTGCCAACCAACCGACTAAATGGAAATCCAGAGCCGCGCTCATGTATCCCAGAGCTTCCAATTTTTTATCTTGCAAAAGGCGTCTAGCATGCCGTTGAATGATTATTTCGATGAAGAATTCTTCAGCTGTCGTCGAATCCCTAAAATAGAATACAGATTTATAGATGTTAAGCTTGTTCTAACTCTTGGGCGATAACAATACGGTGAACCAACGACTGAATTATTTTGAATATTTAATAGCAATTAATGGCCAATTGGCTATTATTATTATAGAACATATAAGGTGAATCCCAGCAAACATCATCGTTACGTACTTTTCTCTTGCGGTATGAGGTGCACTTTTCTTGCGACGAACAACCGACGCATCGATGCTGCCAACCGATGCTGCTTTGCCCATAGTGTTCGAACTGGATTGGCTTTGATTTGATGGAGGACTAATAATTTCATTCATTTTTGGATTGACGGTCGTTGAAAAACTTCGCCCTCGTGCCATCGAGCCCAAAATCAAGCTCAAATCCTCGGCATTCGGGCTAACTGGTGCTGGCTGCTGACTTGTATGCAGTTTGTTACCAATTATAAATGAGTTGCGTGGTGATTCAACATCATTTGGATCTAAATACGAGAATTCAATGATTATTTTCTGAAATTGAGTGTCTGTGATTGTTGGCCAATTTTACCGATTGCTCTTAGAAAACGAACAAGTTCCTTGGCCAAATCCCATTTCTCCTCCTCTAGTGCCGTTTCCAATAAAATCGTTGCAAATTGCCTACTCACTGACGATGGCTCAAGGTTCTACAACAAGAGAAGGTGAATTGTTCATTAAATTGATTGCAAATTAAAGGGGTGATCATAACACTTTTAATACGAAACGGATATTTTACTCACCTGTAAAATGATCAAATAGCTGCCAGCCGTTTCTAGTTGGTGTTGCGTTAAACATTGCTGAAATAGATCTTTTGGTTTGCCAGCCGTTGCAAATAAATAGGGCCATAAAGCGATTTCAGTCTTACGAGCACATTGCACAACAGTCTAATCAAAATTCAAACGAAATCATCAAATCAAATGCCATTGATTAGTTGCGTTGCATCTCACAAACCTGTAAGTAAACTGGAAATTCCTGTATAAATTCCAGCACACTAGGAAGTAGGGCATCGGCGATTGGCTCTTTGCTGGTTGCTTCTTCCTCAAGAACTTCATGCAACAGCAGCTCCAGTGAGTGCGGAAAATATGGCAGATTCGAACAACTGCGTGCAATTTCCCATGCATTATACCCAAGATTTCGACGAATTAGCTGCCGTAGGATTTGATGAAGATACACTTGGCTCTGTGGATGACACGAACAATCCCACAACAAAGAAATAAATAAATAATTAATCATTCAAATCAAGATGTTTCAGAGACAAATGGTCTTGCGGCACGACTGTTACCAAAAATAATCGAAACAAAGTACAAGAGCAAATGTCAAACTTACCGTTCGCTCCAGAATACAAAACGGCAACGAAAAATGTGAGCTGGAGTCGCTTGTGTACACAACCGTATCATTTTCGACGCCCAAAATGATGGCATCTTCAAAGAGTATCGCCAACGGATACACTTTCAATGCAAACGACAGCATAATACGTTTCGACATAAAGGTATGTCGACTGCCATAGCCGCTATCAGCGTCACGAGGAAAGACTGGTAGCCAAACGCGCATTCCATATCCGCCACAATACAGCCACAGCGATTCTTTGAGATGTGTCTTCTGCGAATTAGATACCCACAAACATTCCACGCACGATGCCAAGCAGGTTGATGTCTGAAATAAAGGAAATCATTCGATGAGTTTTGAAATTCGCTTCAATTTTCGTTGTTTTGTTGAGATTTTGAATGTCGAAAAATAAGCGAGCCTAAAATCAAGTTGCGTTTATGAAATCTGTGACTGTAACCAAACGTTTAATAGGTGGGTTTTGAAAAAAGACGAGTATTCGAACATACGCAAAAAAAAACATGTGAAGTATCAGATATATGTGTATAATTTGGTCTTTGATTTTTGGCTATTGCCAAAGATGAAAGCCGATGGAGTTGAACCTCCCATAGGCAAACGTGTTCTCAAACCGTTTAATCAAACTTATTTCGGCAGTCCAATGAGAAATGCTGCAAAAGTGTGTGGCAATAAATGATAAAAAATAATAAAGAAGCAAAAAATCGCAACAAAAACACAAATTATAACAAATTTGTTGTTTCGACCGAAAATATGGTCGTCTGTATTTCTGCGCTTAATGACCGGAAAATGTGGAGCATGTATTTGCATCATTTATTCTCTGCTGCTGCTGCTGCTGCTGCAGCGTTATGTGCTTTTCTTTTTTGTTTCGTTTCGTTCCATTTTTAATGGCGCTTAATTGAAATCAAGCAATAAATAATGTAGACAAGCCGAATTGACCATTGAATTGAAACAAAGCGAAGAACGAGGTGCAAATTATTTGCCAAACTGTGAATGCTTATGAATAACAAAAATCATTTGGCAATTACAATTATCTATATACTTTGCTATACTGACAGCACCGAAACTGAGAGTGAGACAGAGTGCACAATGGAAACGAAACAAATCCGAAATATATGGATTATTTTATTGGTTACAAATTGGCGTGAAATCTGCGTGGAATGTTAAAACTCTTAAAATTTTCATGCTGGAACAAACATGATTGCACCGCGTCGCACATACATTCACAAAGCTTGTCATGGAATGCGTTTTCCACACATTACACTTTTATTCTGGCGTATCAAGTGTCGAATTTATGCAATGGCATTGATTTAACTGACGCTTTTTGTTCGTTATTTCATGGCAACATCGATACAATCGAATTGAAAATGCATTCAATTTTGAAAGGCAATCTCGAGAATGGTGGCCAATTCTTTCCTAATTCAGTGTGTTCAAGGAAATCGTTGGCTAAAAAACTGTGACATTTTTCATGGGTGATTTTTATTTTTGAGGTGAATTCTATGCTGTAATTTTTATGACAAAATTTGTATGTAGCTGCATCATTGATGCACTAGAAAATTCCTGGAAAAATTGAGCTGTCGCTCGTAATCATTTGGATGAACAAACGGGGTGACATGAATCAAAATACCAAATGAAATCATCGGTAGAAAGTATGATGCAAAAAGACAGCCAAACACCTTTCGTACACAGTGTGTATTGCATGAACGATATTTATAGTGCACACATGACTTGCTTGGTTCTCATAAATTTGCTCGCAAATGTGTAAATGAATACGTTTGATTGCCGGTATACCGTTATAGAATTTGTATACGGTACATAAACCGCCAAAGTCAATTCGATTATTCGCTGGAATCAATTTTTAATTTTGACAAATGCATGCGCAGTGCGCACTGCGTGTGGTGGCTTTTAATTGGAACAAAATAGTGGCAAACGGGGAAGATTAGTGTGCAAGACAAAGTGATTGAGAAGCAATCAGACAAACGACATTATTTTAATTCGAGCCACACACACACACACACACACACACACACAACATACTATCTGTTTCGCTCGATCGTCGTGCTCATCGTGTGGCTCGATTCCATGTGCACGTCATAACCACTTTGCAAGTTTTCAATATGCCATGATTTCCACGCTGTAATAAACTCACAATGTTCGGATGCAATGCACTTTCTATGGTAGACAAATGGAAAATTCATTATTCGGGTGGCTGGCTGCTTGGTTGGACGAACCGTGCAAATTATAATAATCATTAAAGACACGGATTGGATTAATTTACATGTTTATGTGTACAATTATGAGCACGCATTTGAACGCTGTACGACATTTTACTAAATTTGGTATGATGGTTTGTTGCTGCTGCTTCTGCTGCAGGTGTTGCTTGTACTGGCTGACTGGCACATTGTGTTCACCGACACGACACCAGATTAAGGAAGATATATTAATGCCAATGCGGTAGACAATCTGTTTTTCTTCTCTTGATCATAGTCAAACGAAAACTCGCATTTTGATCATTTGGCGTTGTTTTCTATTTTGTCGTTTATTTATGGAGCTTTAATGCGGTGAAATAATCAAGTAAGAAAAATTGCTTTTATTCAGACGATCAATATAGATCACGCCTATCAATTTTGGGTCGATACCACACAGATGACTATGTGTACTTGTGATTTGCTCGAATAGACGAGCAGAGCGATTGCATAAGACATCGTCGAGAAAGAATTGGCCTAAATCTATTTTGAGTGTGCCACACACAGAGATTTTTTGAATTTCATTTTTTCCCGCTAAATATTATTATAACAATTTATTGCAATCAAATTGCGAAATGTAGCTCACACAGGCTTTATTTTTAGATCATTATGATGATGAGGCGCGCACACTGACACACATCAAATTTGCAATATACGGTGAATTATTGATTCTAGAGCGCGTCAAGATAGTCCATTCACTTTGTAGATTAATTGAAAGATCAGTCATGTAACGCGATTTCTTCATTGTTTTCCTTTCTGATATGTTTGGAATATGGGGCCTTTGTTCGAATAATGCCCTGCATGCAAACGAAATCGCGATGAGCAGCCTGTGCATACGGAGTTGATGATAGTGAAAATCGTGCCATGGCTTTGTTTCCATTTTTAGTGTGCTGTGTGATCAACACGTACATCGGACGGACCGAACGGATAAGAAACAGATGCGCGTTTGTGAAATTCCGTTTAATCGTGGCAAAGCGAGTGTGCGCGGCAAAGACTTCAATCGCAACTTTTGCTTTTTATTTCCCTGCAACAAATATTACCGTAATTATGTCAGTTTGCCATCAACCTCATCCAAACTTGTTATATGTACATAGAGAATGAACGACGAAATCGACATTTAAGCCGTTTATTTCGTTGTTTTCTTCTTTTCTCCACTTTAATCGGACGGAAAAAGTTAACAAACAAACTTAACAAAAACATAAAAACATGGAAGAATAACTCGATGATTGAAGCCATACACATCTTAATTCGTACATCAATCGCATGATATGTCGATCTTTTCACTCACTCTCTCTCTCTCTCTCTCTCTCTCTCGATTTTATAGGACGCACGTTACAATGTTAGTGTTACGCGCACCAATTACGACACATTACGTAATTTTTTGTTTCAATTGGATTTCGTATCAAGAGCCAAGACCAATGTTTTTGTCTCTCAGAACAACCAAAAATTAACCGATCCTAACGTATCGACGTTTTGCTTTGGTCAATTTTTTCTATTTCATGTTTTTTTCCCTCAATTTCTGATCGGATGCAAACAAATTATGTCTAAATTATCGAAGATTACAAAAACCGTTAATTGCTTGATAGTACCCAAAAAGGGCAATGGTTCATTACAACATTTGAGAAAAATCTAAATGAACAACCTTGAAAAGTACGGTGATTACTCTGCCGGAGAAAAAGAGCAACAACAACAAAAATTGGACCAAACCAACAACATAAACAACCGTCAAAACAAAGCAACGAAATTAATAACAGACAAAAAAAAACGCGCCAAAATGATAATTACATCGAACACAGATCGATGTCTTGCAACAAAACAACGAAAGAAAAAAGAAAACTCACTCGTCATGGTATGAGCATTGCATTGCTCAAAATCCGAATTTAATGTCAACTTTTAACATATCAACAATGAATTTGGCCGTTTTAAACATTTCAATAAATAAACGGCGATTGGCCGCGATTTTTTTTTCTTTGTCTTTCGTTAAGACGCAAAAACAATGGTCGAAACCAATCCATGTGAACAAAATGAACCAAAATAAATTTGCTGGCCATTTGTTATAGATACTATGAAAATGAAAACAGAGCAAAAAAGGCAATCAAAATGGGAAAAAGGCGGCTCTGAAAAGAAAACGCTCGGCAAAACAAACATATATATATACGATGTCGACGGCAACGGCTGCTCATACGAAATTCGTATGTGAAAAATTCAAATGGTAAATGAGCTGCGCGCGCACTCGCTCGCTCGCGTTAAGCTTACGTACGACGGCGGTGGCCGCGATCGTGCCGAACCTCGATGAAGACACTTCTTCGCCTTTTCGAAAAAAAAAAAAATAACGGTAAACAAATGGATTCGGTGCTTTTTTGGCGGAGGGGAGGGAAAATGCTGGCGCTGACGCTGTTTTATACCGATGTGGTAGGTCGTTGATTGCAAATGCGCTGATAAATAATTTTTCGTATAAAAATCATCAACAATCCAAGCCAAATCGTCAGTTTTTCATTGATATTCAATCAAATTGGATATACAGCAGCACTGAGCTCCCCAAAACGAAGCACTAATCGCAACCAACGCTAAATTTTCATTTAAGATAGCAAACAATTTACATTTAAACAAACAGAAAAAATGGAATTCAAAGCTATTCAGGTACGCAACAAGTGATTCTTGAGAGTTTTTTTTTTTTCATGTGATTTGGTTTTTCAGAAGAAAATGTTCTTTGTGATTATCGTTTTTTTCAAATGTTGAAGGATTTGTATCAAGAGTTATTAATTTTCAAGAGTTTCCAAGTTAAGAGATAAGAGTATTCGAGTTGAGCATCTCAAGTTTTGATTGTGTGCATGGGAGTTCTCAGTTGAAAATAGAAAAAAGTGAAATTAATCACTTCATTTGAAAAAAAAAACAATTCAAAAACAAATTTTCATATTGGAATAGAAAAAGCGTGGTTCAGTTGAATGCAGCAGAAACATGGAATTGTTTAATAATTTTTGTGTTAATTTTCGAATAGATCACATTGTGTTTGATTGCCATGGCATGTGGTGCATTCGCCAGCTACGGTCATTCAAGCAGTTACGTGCACATTGACCATCTATCACATGGATTGGGAAGCTACGACGGCGGCTATGATCATTACGATGACCATGATTATCATGTAAGTTATTCAATCAAGTGCATTGTCACATCTATAAGTTCAATTACCATCCATAAATTCAAATCAAATATCTCATTCATATAATGGGCCCCCTACTAAAATTCTTACTTAAACTAAATCACTTATTCAAATTTGACACAAATTCCATCCAAACCCTTTGAGATCATTTCACTGAATTCGACTACTCTCCACCATGTGAATGATCCTTGAAATGGAAGTTTTGATTGAGAGATGAAGATCATTCAGATTCAATTATCAATAAAGAATGAAGATTCATTTGAGATTTTCATTCATTTTTCTTTTTTTTTTAACATTAAAGCAACGAACACTTGATTTTTCTTGTAAACGTTCACCTACTTAACCTACTTATTTAAAAAGAAAATTCGACAAAAAGAAAGAAATAACTAGAACTAGAATTTTATTCAACAAAAACGTTAAAGAAACTCTGTTAAAACTATCTCTTCCTCAAACAGGCACCCGCCAACTATAAATTCGGTTATGCTGTCAAGGATCCGCACACCGGAGACGATAAACAAGCCTGGGAATCGCGTCATGGTGACCAAGTGAAGGGATCATACTCATTGGTTGAGCCAGATGGTACCAAACGAATTGTTGATTACACATCAGACAAAATCCACGGATTCAATGCTGTTGTCAAGAAGATCGGACACGCACACCATCCAATTATCGAGCACCACGGTCCTTTGGCTGCCGGATTTGGCTACTACTAATTCTCAACCATACAGCCACCTACCCCATACGTCACATTCATAGAATTTTCGGCATTCAGATCATCGGAATTGATCGCAATGCTGCACTAGTATTTTTTTTTTGCTTTAAATTATTTTACCTTTGTCTAATTATAATATTATTTGTGTACACTTTTGTGCAAAGTGATGGAAAATTCATTCATGACACAGACGAAACACAAATCGATTATAAATAATGGCACAAATGATGACAACCACACTGATTCGAATACAGTATTTGCATCTAAAATCTATAACAAAAAATCAATTCTCATTTTTCTTCAACATTTCTTTGCCTATCCCTTCTTTTTATAATTCCTATCCCTTCTTACGTTTCACTTCTTCAATTCTATGTAGATATTTCTACTTTCTTCATTATTTGAAATCATCATTTTTCATAAACCCTGTCTCGAATCCAACCAAGTTGTTATGTGAGCCAAAAATTGATCCGTGATACGTTGTCAAAACAAATATTTTTTGGAAAATTGTAATAAATTTGTACCAAATGGTAAGCGATATAATATGTAGATGGGACAAACTAAGAATGAATTCGAACGCTAATTTTAACTAGAAAATTACAGAAAACAAAGAAACATTGGAATGAGTGAAATAAATGAAAACGTTTCCAAAGAAACGAAAGATTAAAACTAAAAATTCGAATTTTTTTTTCAATAACATAATTTCTTCTTCTTCTTCTTCATACATACAAAAATTTCAAGTTTTCTTTCAGCTCAAAACGGAACACACAAACGAAGTGATAATGATAGCCTTGTTCGTTGGTCTAATAACGTAAAAATATGCAAAAAGAAAACATGTCCATGTCAGTACCATAAAATCCAAAGGCGGAAATGAGCGTTCGCGCTCCTTTCGAACGAATTGTGTGAGAGGAAAAAAAAAACGAGCAGCCAAGCACACATATACATTTTTTAGTTCGCACTCGCATAGAAAAGCCCCACACACATACACAAGTACGACGCTGTAAACACTTCCTTAATATGTTTCGGTGTAATTTTTGAACAAAAGCCAAAGCCAAGCGAAGTCAAGTCGAGCCAACTCGAGGCCAATAACAAACGACCGGATTACATAAACAGATCGAAGCGAATGGAGCGAGAGAGAGAGAGAGAGAAAAGTAGTCAACATTGCATCCGATCTCATTGAAAAAACGACGAACGCATCATTCGACAAAAAAAAATAATTTGTTTCCAGTTTTTCCCTGGCGGCTGCACTGTTGCACAGCAACTTTGTGGCAGCCGGTTAAGAAAGAGTGTGGCATCGCGCCGATTGATTACATTCGATTTAGTAGCTCTTGATACGGTGCATTTTTTTTTCTATTGCCCATAATTCCAGCTTATACTTGCGTTGGCTTTTCTGTAACCTTTTTTTTCACTGTGGACTTTGAAAATTACGCGCATATTTCGATCGCCATCGATTGCACCGCCAGCGACAGACAGAGATGAAGAAAGAAAGAAAAAACGTTCAAACAAATAGGCATCAAATGCAAAATACTTTAACACTTTAAATTTATTTTCGATGCAAGCGATGGGGAGAAAAATTAATGAAGAAGAAGACGAACAAAAATGTACATAAACGATGTTGTTAAGTTGTTAGGCAAAGAAACGCAAAAACAATAAGGTAAACATGGTAAATACGCATATACATATGTGTTTTGCAAAGAAGTCGTCGACCAACAAATGTATGCAATTTCAATGTAATCGTAAAATTGACGGCGTTTTGTTGATTTGAATTGTTTTATGGTTGTTATTCGATCCGGTATACGATTACATTTAGTTCCGATTGTCCATTTTTGATCGTGGCATTTATCGTTTTCATTGTCGTCGACATTATTTTTCGGACAACTACGACGATGATTATGATGATGTCAAACATAAACTCGCACGCCAACGCTAACATAATCATTTGGCATTAACAAAAGACGCTCGGAAGTTCAGTCGAAAAATTGAAGAACGCGCGCGCGCGAACTTTTACATACGATATACCGGCAAAATGTGGAAGAAGAAACATAAAAAAACACTAGAAATTACAACCATCACATAACAACATAACGATGCACAAACAAGAAAATCAGCTTACAACGGTAGCAAAAAAAAAACAAAAATGTGAAAAACCATTCAAAACAAGCGAAAAGTATGTGAAAAACTCGCATTTTCGTGTGCGCATTGCACGACGCGCGCACGCGCATCGAATATTCACACGAAATATAATTAAATTCGATTGGATAATCTAGAGATTTTCGGATGTTTTTGCACATGGTGCACAAGACAAAGAAAAAAAAGCATAGTACGATAGAGATGAAGAATGAAATAGGCTTGAAACATTTTCAAAAAAAGAAGCAACAAAATCGGTGCACACATGTTTCAATGCAAAAAAGCAATTATAAATTTTTTTTCCAACAAAGAAGCAACGATTCGGAATGCAGACCAAATGGAGAAAAAACCGAAAAGGCCACCCAAAAAAAACTCTCTCAAATGCGAACGAAGAAAGAGAAAAATAGCAGCAGAAAAAAAATTTGCATTTTCACATCACCTATCTGTCAAAGTCGATATACCGCATAGAAGCCGAAACACAATAAATTAGTCTTGATTTTAAATGCAAATTGGAGCGATAACAGCAACGAACCGCTGTCGAAGCAAATTTTCATTTCCCTCGGTATTCGTTTCGACCGTTTCAGAAAGATCTGATCGACGTAATCTGAAGCATCCGAAGTCTTTCGATTGAAAATGTTGAAGAAAAAAATGGTAAAATTAACCGTTATTCTTCGCTTGATTTTGCTGTATGGTTCGATTTTGCCTTTTTTGTTCCTCTTTGCAGCAAATTTATTCCGTATGCTAAGATGCATTTTCACTTGATCTGGCGCGATAACGAGTGCTAGTGGAAATTGGTTCCGAAAAAAAATCGGTGGAAAATCCAACAATTTTGGCTCTTTGTCTCATAATGGACGCGTCGCTCACGCCTCTCTACGACAAAAAGTCTTGAGTTTCGCTCGCATTGCACACTCTGCAAATCGCAAGTGCATTCATTAACAATTTTTAAGCTTCGTCCAGAAATTCACCAGATTTTTTATTCACAGACCAAAAAACGAATTTGTTACGAGCAAACTGAACTGCGAAAAAAAAGTCGAACGAACACGAAAAAAAGATACCTTGGGAAAAATGAATATTTTCACTCGCGCATAAATCAGCGGAAATATTTTCGTGCAATTTTTCGTCGATGCAAAAGAGAAGAAAAAAAGTGATGCGAAACATCAACAACAACAAAGATTACATCAAATGGCGCTAAAATGAAGCGATGATGCAAATGTTAAATGCTATTTTCACTTTTATTCGTGTTGTCGTTTTCATTCGTTGTCATTTTTAATACGAAAAATTTAATTGAAAAAAATGTGCTGAATGCGCTTGTTTTTTTCTGTAGCTTTGTTTTGAATGCGATTTCGTTAATTTTTTTTTCTCCATTTCGCTTCTGTAGCACACGCGTCAAAATCAGCAGCTCTCGTGTTAAGTACAAGCCTGAATTATGGCATAGCTCTGATTAGTAAAACCGAAGAGAGAGAGAGAGAGAGAAATTGTGGCGCGGGAGCCGTGTTTGTAGTGACGTTGATGATGAAAAGTAGGAAATGAATTATTTCTTGAGAATTTTTCGTCGGTTTTTTTTCTGTCTGTTTGCATTTTCGATTTATTATAAACTTTCGTGTTTCATTCTTTGAATTGGGTTTTGTATGTTTTTTTGTTCCTCTTTTGCGTGTGCGCCACTGATGTCGGCTTCTTCTTTCTTCCAATGTGCAGTGTGCGTGTGCGTGTGCAATTTGATTTCAGATTTTCAGCATTTGTCAAGTGCGGCCCGAACTGCAACAGTTTGCAAATGTAAACAAAGAAAAATCGTATCGTATCGTATCGTATCGCAGTTGCTAAGTAAATGCGCGCGCTCGACTTAAATAATAATAACTTGCAATCATTGATAGCATGCAAGCAAATCGTTAACTCGGTATAGTTGTGCAGAGCCGCGGATTTCTCATCGGAAAGTTTATAATTATTTTCTTTCTGTAGAATAAATTGAATGTGTGTGACTCTCTTTCTATCTCTTGCAATGGCAACAGCGCGGCACATGCACATTGGATACCACACACACACACACACACACACACACACACACACACACACGCTGAGCCCACTGATTATATTGTATGCATTTGTTTCCATTCCTGTTGCATTTTGTATCGCATCGTCTATTTAAAATATGATTTATCGATGGTAATTGTATCGTTAGTTATGTAAATCGGTTTACGCTTGCGATTTAGTCGTAAATTCTCGGAAAATTTCATTCGCACAAAGCGTTGATTCTAAGGCATTGCCGCCGTCGTCACCAACGCAGCAAAACACAATGATTGCATAAAAAATGAGAGATAATTGAGCAGCCGCAAATACCAAATATTAATAAATATAATTGAATATTGTGCCTTGTTAATGCGATAACACAACAATATGCACGAAACTCTTCCTCATCCAAAAGAGGTGCGCGGCGGTCGAACTACCGATCGACTAAATTTCGTTCCGATTCTATCGAATCAAAAAAACACAGTTTTTAAATCAATATTCAGTTTTTGCTCATATTTTCAGGTGGCAAAAGAATCGACCACGGAATGTGTGTAAACAAGCTGAATTCGAGCATGAAATGTTCGCGTGCCGTTCCATATTCAAAAGCGCCAGCATTCATTTTTGACGCCAAATACAAACGTTATGCTATGCTTGTTCGACCAGCGACTAACCACATTGCATGTGTATCGATGATAAAAATGTTCATCAACCGCCGCCGCCACAACTGCTGCTCGCAGCATTAATTTGAGTACAATGAGTGAGCGCACGTAATGTGATCAATGCGTACAAAAAACCGACTAATTACCACTGTTGCTGACACTATGTCTGGCAAACCGAACATGAGAGCGTGTGCGCACCGTTTTGATGTTTCGTTGGGTTCACCTACATTTTTACGATGGTTTTTTTCTGCCAATTTTTGTGAAAAACTCTTATCAAAAAATATGCTAATAAAAATTTATGGAATTTTTGGCTATTTTCAATGAAGTTTTTTTCGTACCCGTATCCCGGATCCAGTGAGCACATTTACACCTTCGCTAAACGTTTTTCTTTGAAGTTTTTTCTCCATTGCATTTGTCGTTTTCTGTTTTGTCGAAAGACTTTTCCTCCTTTTTCCATTTTACAACATATTTCTGGTATAGATTTACAGGCATTAACATACTAATGTTATTAATTATTAACATATTATTAACGGGGCGTTAATAACTCAAACATAACATATTATTAGATTAATAAGATTCTACGATATTATTAACATATTATCTTATGATTAATGAGATCGCCATTTTATTAAAAAGTTAATAAGATCCATCTTATTATTAATAAGATGATCTTATTGAAATATTAATAAGAAAATCGGATTTTATTAACTAATTTTCAAAAAAAATTGCGAAGAAAAGTTTCATACTAAAAACATATCAAATATCGTCAGATGCATTTTTCTTCAATATTTCGTCGTTTGACGATATTTGATATGTTTTTAGTATGAAACTTTCCTTCGCATTTTTTTTTTGAAAATTGGTTAATAAAATCCGATTTTCTTATTAATATTTTAATAAGATTATCTTATTAATAATAAGATGGATCTTATTAACTTTTTAATAAAATGGCGATCTCATTAATAATTAGATAATATGTTAATAATATCGTAGAATCTTATTAATCTAATAATATGTTATGTTTGAGTTATTAGAAATTTTCCGATATTTTGGTTATTAACATATTAATAAGATATCGAAAATGTAAATCTATAATTTCTGGTGTAAATTTCAAATGCTGTCGTGTACAAAGTGTGACATATATAACACAAAGTAAACCGTTTGATATGATGGGCTTACGGCTGTTTTGTTAGCGTTTTTTTTGTCTATGATTCGATCATTGAAAAAAAGACAAGCTCAAATGGAAACAAAGTTGAAAGAGATTGAAAAAAGGCTAAACACATTTTAAACGGGTTTTCTTTTAACGGATTTTATGATTGTTGTGCGATTTTCGCGTTATCGGCTATTTTTTGTCTTCTTCTTCTTCTTCTTCTTCTTTCCATTCACGAAAACAATATAGCGAATGGTGCTGCTGATGTCTGTGCACATATCGTCTCACTTTAAATGATGTCGGTGCAGTTGGATCAGTCAGCGTTTGCGATTAAATCGATGTTGTTTCTATGTTTGATTTTGATTGCATCTTTCAGCCAGTGAAAATAATGAGTTCACAATAGGTTTCGATATAATGTTTGTATTTGTCTATCTTTGCCCTCAAAATTGATCGCGTCAATCAGTACGTGTGTTTGTTTGTAGGCAAATTTCACTCTTTTGGATTTGGTCGTTGATTTTCATTTTTTTTATCCAGTCATAATGCAGGTGCTAATGTGGAGCATTTAAAATCGAATCAACTCGTTTTTGCTGCCATTTTCTCTTCAAAGTTTGCGTTTCACTGTGAATGCGTTCTCTATCTCTCTCTCTCTCTCTTCCTCCTTATCGTTGAACATAATTAGATAATTTGATGATTGTGATTATAAAATAAAAGCCTGTTCGCTTGATTCTCATGCTTGTGTTTGCATCGAATGAATTGGATTAAATGCCGTCATGTACGGTTTTATGTAATATTGTTGAGCTCTGCCGAGCAGATGCAATCAATTGAAGTGGCAAAACCGATCAAAATCCCATTTCCATTCAAACAAGATCAATGATAAACGGTCACCGCCACACTGCACACACCCGTACAAAATCTCCATGATCTTGTTTTCTTCCGTACCGTCAGATTCCATCATCGTTTCGTTTGCACACACATACATACACATACACACACAATGCCAATGCGACCTACTTTAGTGCCATAGTTGGCAAATTTAAATTTCATGTGTGGATGCAATTTACAGTTCGCTCTCTCGCCATCATATCCATTTTTAAAAATGGTACAGTTTTCCGATGCATCGACTCAATTACCATTCGGGCGTGCATACTTTCGACTTATAAAGACAAATCTGTATCTATTGATGCGAGAAAAGAGTAAGCTGCCAATCATTCACTTACCAAAAAAAACAAACAAAGGCTAAACTACGCTACCAATGTGAAGGAGAGGAAGTAATAATCAGTAGCAGTTACCATTTGTTTGATGTGCATTCGCAATGAACCGAACTGGATTACAACTTATGTAAAAAACCACGACCAACAATTTCTCTCTCTCTCTCTCTACTTCACTCATTCGCACATCACCCTCTCAATTTGCAATCACAAACTGCTACTCAGCATCGGAATGTTGAATTGTACAAAGAAGTAAGAAAAAAAAACGGATCACACATAAAATCAAACTTACCAAATTTTCTGATGCATTTCCGTTGTTTTCCTTATTTACCATGAGTATGCGACCCGACACATTCAACACTAGCGTCTCGATTTGCGAAAGATTTCCTAGAAAATGATGGGAACAGAAAAAAAGCGATATACAATTGTCCATTAGCTCTAATGATCATTGAGGCGGAGGGATTGACGGCAGTTTACCTTGATTGGCTCGACTTGCACTATCATTCTTCAGATTGGTCATTGTCACGGAGATGATGCAGGCCGGATGAATGCATAGACCGCGAATGTCGTACATATCGGTGCGCAATAGATCAATGTTTTGCGCATCGTATTTGGTGATTGCGAACACAGCGACAAAACCGTCCGCCGTAAATGTCACCAATTGATCTTTGAATAAATTGATTAGCATCACGGGAGCGCCCATCGAAATGATTTTCGCAAAACGATTGTCGAGCTTGGAATCTTTGGGATAGAGACGAATCTCATCACTTTTCTGCACCAAACTGTAGCAACCCATTATGATGAAATCGTCCCACCAAAGCAATCCACCGGTCACAATGAAATCCTTTTCTTGTGTTTCATTTCCAAAGAGTTTCCATTTTCGTGTTACCATCGAATAGATTGCAACACCCGTACGGCCAGCCACCGCAATATTAGCGCCATTATTACTGATCGCACTATACTGTAATTCAAAGTGAAACGAATTAGATTCGAGAGAGAGATTCCAATGTCGGACAGCAGAGCACTTACACGAATCGGCCAATTCGTTGCCATATAAGCGACAGGCAGTTGCACCACAATCCAATGTTTACTCTCCGATAGGATACTCGTTACTTGTAACGATTTTCCCACTTCGTAGTCGTCCAAATTCGTTGATAAGTCTGCGATTCAGATGAGAATTTAATGAGAGATTCGTTCACAAAATGATTTCTTCTTTTAAATCTACTCGATGATTCAATAGTTGTCTCTAAATGGCATAAAATTAATTTACCTTCATTCGGCACCGAAATAAATTCACCGCTCATATAGCTATCCATACAAATATTGTATGAATGTGAAAATAAATTGCTTTGTTTGCTAGACGATGAGTATAGATTTGAGTCGATTAGATTTGGATCGAGTGGCAACGATTTGCCATTGTGATAGACCTTTTGCAAACTTTCACCCTGATTCATATACAGTCTATCGTCACCTTGCAAAAATAAATGCGCATGTGTACTCTGCAAAAGAAATCAAACGATCAACCTAATGAAAGGAACAAGACAACAGAAATATGCAGCGACTCACCATTACAGGATTCACAGTAAAACTACTTTTTACAAAATTCAATTGAACTAGTGTGGTTGTCAGTGTGTACGGTGGTTCTGCGGTCGCAAAACTTTTATCGGACAAATTCGAATAAGTATGCATAAGAGTTGGTTTATTAGGTACTGAAGATGTTGCTGTTACTGATGATGCCGATTTACCATCGACAAAACTTGTATCCTCCGATACATTGGAAGCAGATGTGTCTGCATTTGGTGTTTCTTCATCGTAAATTTTCTGCTGACGCAACATAAACAACTGATAGCCTTCCGTTGACCAGTCCTGATTGTTTTCAGACAATGAGACATTTATGTAAACATCAAGAGCTCAACACAAAAATACGTTGTAGAATATCAAGGAAAATCTTAAGCTCTGTCTTACCATGCACGTGATATCAAGTGGATTTTTTAGTGCTAAATCAACATTCAGACCGTAGTCCCAACCGAGTGAGCACATCAACATCGATCCGAATGTACTCCACAATGAAATGCCACCTTTGCTCCATGACAACATCACCGCACAGCCATCCGGTGTCCATTTCATTTCACGCACTGAACCCGGTGAACCGGGAAAATCTTTGGCACTCAGTTCGATCGTGTGTGACAATTCCAAGCCACCGGTCAAATCATCAATGGTGTACACAGCAGCTTGGGAGCTGGAAATTTCATAGAATTTTTTCAAATTATTTCATGATTTTCTCAGATTGAATTGAATTTGTACGCACTTTTTCCTTCCAAATGCGATAAGTCGATATTTATGATTGATACTACTGCATGTTGTATCGTCCAAACCTTGCGCCCATATTCCTTGCACTTGCTGTAAATCATACGAGCAAAGAATGTTCCGTTAAAATGCCATTGGCTTAAAAAGAAATTTCGTAGACAATATGCAAATTATTATTGAAAAAAAAATCAACCATTTCTTACATTCGGATCAAATTTCAATGAATTGGCAGTCAAATAAGCGGCTCGGCCATCGTTCAGTGTGATTGCAAAGCCACCGATCAAGGGTGAATATTCCATTGACGATACATATGTATTACTTTCCAAAATCGGAACAGCTGAAAAGCAAATAAAATTGATGGTATATATGGAATGAAAGCGAAAATGTGGGTCAAATCAAGGTGGTGCGCGTGAAAAACAGATGTTTTCAATTGAGCCCGATCGCATACCGTAGCTAACTTGTTGATTGATGCTAAATGGAATACGTTTTAAATCTAATGAAAAATCTCTTTCTTCGACACCATCCCAACGTATGCGAAAGATGCGTTCACTTTTCGTTGCGACCATCATTTGATTCATATTTACACAGCATATGCATGTTATTGGAACATATAGGGGAACTTCTAAATGCTGTTCAAAACCAAAACAAAAGAAATTATATATTAGTTGTGGCCATTGAATGATGTGCGCTATGGGCTTTTTGATTTTACCAATGTCAGTGTGAGTGAGGGGATAGTTTCTTTGAGGAATAATTCGGCGCTATCACGGCATAAGTTTTTGGACGGAGGATCTTTTTGATTATATATGCCCCTTGGTGTATCAACTACGGATAAAACGTACAATAGAAGCGTTCCATCGGTGGTCTAAAAATAAACAAACAACAACAAATGAAACCATTTAAAAGCTGCATACGTCACACACATACAGCGGCCCAACAAAAGGGTTTTTTCCCCTTGAACGGCATCACTTACGGCAACCACCAACATATTTGAGTCGGGTTTCCATTCCACAATACAGTTGGTTCCATGTTTGGCTATTGATTCGGGCGTACGTTTTGATATCACAATCGGCACACAAGGCTAAAAAAAAACAAAAACGAATCGGTTTACTCCATTCATGTCAAACCAAAGCAAACGAATTTTCGATGAAAAACACTTACATTTGTGTAGTATATTGCTAATGAGTCATCGGTTAGGATGGCGAATAGAATTTTGACGCGATCGCAACATATTCGTCGAATTGATTGCTGATTCAATCCAATTAGATCGACTTGCACAGGCCATCCAATGGGATAGTACATTTTGCTGTGTTAATGATGCAGCCTGCTGTCGTCGTCGTTGTCGTTGTTGTAGTCGTAGTCGTTACTACAATCACACGTTGAATGCTTCGAAACGGCGCTTCGCACGCGAAACGATTTCATTTAATTAAATGACAAAAATTACACAACCAAATACCAGGCCCAACAAACAATTCTTATCAATTCTCAACCGAGAATTTCCTTGTTCCGTTTCAATATATTTTATTTCTTTTTCTGTCTGTATCTATCTCTATCTCTCTCTATCTCTCTCCCTTTCTCTCTCTCTCTCTCTCTCTCTCTCTCTCTATCTGTTTGTACGCTCTTGTGGGTTGCGTTGTTTCAATTTTTAACGGGATGCTTGAGCTATGGAACGACAACGATGAACACAAAAAAACATGATCACATATAGCACACACGCAGACACACTCTTTGCATACACAGAATCTGGCTTACTAGCTCTCTTTCTCTCTGTCTCGACGGCGAAGAATCGAAGGCGATGAAATTACAAACCAACGAAAAAACGAAAAGAACAATTCGAATGAACACAAAACAAACAATAAAATAAAAAAGCGAAAAATTAAAATGCTTTGGAAATGTGAGAACGAATTGCCAGAGAAATTTTTACTAGACAAATCTAATTACATTATAGATAAATAGTTCTTTTTATTTGTGTTGTGAATCAATGCTTTCATCGATGCCTCTGTGTCTTGTTGTGTTTTCCTATTTTTTTGTATTTATGGTGACGTTTCAAATGTCAATCGCAAACAAACTACGTGCCATTGTTTTCGTTGCGAATTCCTACGTAGTTTTCACTCCAATGGGAATGATGTGATAATTGTTTTGAATGAAAATTTCGATGCGAGAGAATTTATGGTCTATTTTTGAATCATTTGTGTCGATTCATTGCCGAAGATGTAATGATTTGGTGATAAAAATTAAGGCGTATGACAAACTGGTCATCTATCATGGAATGTGGTATTAGATTGAATGGAAAGTTTAAACCTAACAAAGTTTTCGACCTTTGTTAGGTTTTGAACATAATGAAAGGTTTTCAGACTTGTTTCTATTGTGTTAAATTGGATTTCTCATCGGTTTTATTATCCAACTCACACTGCCAGCTATATCGACTTAGAAAGTGGCACAAAAAGCTTCAAAGCACTCAAACACACTTTACTTGATGAAAGACTTGAAACTGCAATAGCAAAAAAAATTCTGTTTACTTAGATCGCTTCTTTCGTTTTTTTTTCAATTAATCTCCTTTTTATATGAAATATAGAGTGCTTATTTCTTCAGATTTTTTTTACCGTCTTACCAAAAAACATAGTTTTGTATTTTTTTTTTTTCATTTTTTTAGAATCCATATGTACTGTTTACTTTGAAATTATCGATAATTATACATGCAATTTCTATCTCTTGCTCTGTTGAATGTAATGAACAGCTGTTTTGGAATTTTTCTTTTTTATGTACAAAAACATCGATTGCTTATAAAGTTACAATTCTTGAAATATTAAAGAACATCCAACGTGAAACCACGTGCATTGGAATGACGATCCACAGAAATACAGATAAATTCGGCAATAACACGTAACTTTAAATCCAGCAATCAATTAGCTCAGAAAGGGAAAAATTTACTAAGACTGCTTTTAATGTAGGAAAAAATGGTTTTGTATATCTAGAATAAATCAATGTAAAAATTCACAAGCGAAATTTGATAATTGGTCTAATTTTCATCAACAATTACAAAGGCACAATTTTTGTTTTAACATTATGTATAATTGACCCTGTCGATAGTTGTAATCGCCACTGGATGGCGTCTCCCGACACTGCGGTAAAACTTGTTCGTCTTAAAAAATTATATTAAAACAAAAATTCTTAGAAAAACGCAATTGGTTTTGTATTTTTTTTTTTCATTGGTCATTTTATTAGAATCCATAATTTTTCTGTTTGCTTAGAAAATATCGATAATTTTACATGCAATTTCTATCTCTTGTTCTATCAAATGTAATGAAATGATAAATCGATCAATAGATTTCATTGTTGTTGCTGTTGACATTATTTTTTTTTTCTTTTTATTTTCTTCTTTTACATATAAATTGTCTAATTATTCATGTTATTTTTTAGCATTTTTCCATTTTATGTACAAAAACATCGAAACAGTTAGTTTAAAAAAAAGATTTATAAATTAAGTTGTTCAATCGTTACAAGAGAAACAACAACATGCCGTATCGATTGCTATGTTTAATAGGTTTCACTTATCACAAAAGTACAAAATCGTTGTCTCCATATAAAAAACACACAAACAAATATTGTGAAAACTAGAAATCGGCAACTTGTGAAAAATTTCCGATTTCGTTTTCGTATGACAAGTGCAACGGATTTGTTCCTCTTTGAAAAAATCAATTGAAATATTGCGCGCACGAGTCACCTTTTCAATCGCTCACGTCAAAAATAATTTGCTTTGTCGTGTTTTTTTTCTGTTTCTTCAATTAAAGGTATTTTCGTTGTGGCTTCGTATGAAAAAACATGTCAAAAGCCAGTCGTTGTATAAATTAAAGATAAATATCTAATTGATGCCTTTTTTTAATGCTTTACATTAATTAACATAACATACACATTTCATTTCTTATCGATTTTCGAATGTTACAAGGGATGTATTTTTTTTGGATTGCGTAATTTTTCTACTTTTTTTTTAAAGAAATTATTGTCTACTTAAAAATTATCTTTATAATGAATTTATTTTTTCCTAATGCCTAGACGTGCTTCTTTTCAATGATTTCATGCTTTCTTTTCTTCTAAAAAAAAAGAAACAAATTAGTTAGCTTTGGATATCTTATTTTCAGCAGTTCAACTCTCGACGCGGTCTATGATCGGATGGATGTATTTATTCGATGTGTAGTTTGATTGTTGTGTTGGGGATTGATTTCGATGTAAAAATGTGCTGTTGATTTTGGTGACATATTTCATTGGAATATGTGTGGAATTAGCAGCCATTCTGATTGGGAATTTTACGGTGGTGATCATGGATTTATGTTTAAGTTCAAACAATATTTTGCAGTGTATTTGCATCGTTATTCGTAGCCACAATTGTTCCTCAACATTTTGCGATTATTAAGTGGATAACGGTAAATTTTCATCGAACGAAAATCTTCGTTTTCACATGTATCGAAAAAATTAAGACTGTGTTCTTGAGCTGGGTATATCGTTCAGAGAGTCGTGAGTGGTGTTTTTTTGTTGTTCATCAACCTTTTTTCTCCTCTGGTTCGTTTAATGCACAAGAAATGTAAAAATACCAAAGATTTTGCATTGGTTGTGAAATAATTGTTCCAAGGGAAATTTACATAATTTCGGAACAAAAGTTTAGTTTTGGTTCAAACGTCGTGAATTTTCATTATTCAACGTTATTTTTCAAATTTATTCCGAAATTGTGCATTAGATGCAAAAATGGTTGTTTTAGGTGTATCTCTACTAAAGAAAGTTCGACTTTTTCACATCAGGAGAGAAAGGGGAAAAAAAGCGAAAATTCTACGATCTGGTCGTTAACATTTGAGAGAGGAACGCGTTTCCGTATGCGAAAGCGTTCGTGTTTAAAATTAGCGCGATTCGGAACTTAGAAGGTTTGTTTTACTCCTATTTTCTTTCATTCATTCATTTCATTTACTTATTTCGTTTGACTTGGGGGAAAAAGGCTTCGATTGGTAAAATTGGATCTTCAGTGGCTAATGTGAAATAGCCGGGAATGCGCCGTGATGCGCTTCCCGTATTCACCGAATTGAATTGATTGCTGCCGAATATTGTGAGCTCAGCAACGCGTTCCGATTGCTCGGATGGGCTGTCGTTCAAATCGTTCTCTGAACTTGATGATTCGGTTTTGGTTTTTTCCGTTGTCGCTTTCTCTTTGTACGGCCGATAGGAATGATCGTCTTTGGCGATTTTCATAATCGCTGTTTCATGTTTATATTCTTCAGTGCTGGTGCTGGTGCTGCTTGGCACCACTTCATTGCTGCTCAATCGAACTTTATCTTCGGATGACCCTTCGACAGCTAAATCGTTGAGCGATTCGTCAGTGCTGGTTGTCGATGACGTGCCCTCTTTTTTCTTTTGGGTTTGAATACGTTGCCGCAGGCTTGGTGGTTGGAGGCGTCTCAGTGGAACGGTGCCATTTCGAATTATTGGAATTCGTGATACGGTGCTCGATGTGTCGGATGGATTGTCGGTGGTGGTTGAACTCGATCGGTTGCGATTGATCAGTGAGTCTCGTCTGGTGCTTACACGACGAACTGGTGGTTTGGCCGTAGTCACCGATGGTGTGGTGGGCGATGAATTTGTTTGACCTTCGACCACGGTTTCGGTGGTCGTTTTCAATCGGCTGCTAAAACGATCCTTTGGCACAAAGCGTTTTCGTGTTGTCTCCGTTGACACACCCGATTCCGTTGATGATGGTTCGGCCGTCGACTTTTCTGGATAAATTATATTCGGTTTTTCATCGATTTTGTTCGATTCTACTGTTCGATTCTTCAATTCCGATGGAAGAACACGTTGTCGTGTTGGGAATCGAAGTCGTGTGTATGATGCCGTTGTTGAAACAATATTCGATGACGATTGATCGGGTGTTGGTGTGGTTGAGCTCATTCGTTGTCTGTACTCTTTGATACTGAACCGTGGCCGATTCTTTGGATCGAATTTGTTCGTTCCATTCAATCGAATTGCTTTTGTAACATTGCTGAACTGCACTTCTTCGCTGCTTTGCTTCGTACCAGCTTTGTACACCGGCAATCGTACACGAAGCCGCGGTTCTTTTTCAGTTGAAGACGATTCATTTTCAATGTCATTCACATCGTTTTGATGATGGGCAAATCCATGACCACGATCTTTGGTAACCGCTTTCGTTTGTGAAGATGTTGCAGCAGCGACCGCTTCCAAGATTTTCTCCTTGTTTCGCATGCGTTGCCGAGTTCGGAAATTGCCCAACTCAAGTTTGTTCTCGTCACGAATGTAAACGGGACCCGAATCGGGCGACGCTATCGATTCATTGCTGATTTCACTCTTTTCCGATGACGTTGAGCTTGAACTGATCGTTGATGTTGATGATGTTGATGTCGATGCTGATGACGATGGGCTACTAAATGACGATATGCTATCCGGAGTTTGTGGCTCCAATGTGCCCGCTTCTTCCTCACCACCGTTCGTTGAATCTTCTGGTTCATGCGTTGAGATTGGCTCATTTGCAATATTCAATCGAGTTGACAATACTGATTGGATGTCGTCGAGACGACCTAAAAAAAAATGAGGGAGGAAATGTGTTTCAAATCAAGATACAAATATTTTTCCATGTTTTTAAACCAATTTCAGGGTTTCTCATATGAAAAATTTCATTTTTTTTAAATAAAAAACATTAATCCATTTTTGGGAAATGAGAAAAAAATTCTCTATTGCTCTTTAGTTGTGAGCAATAAATACTTTTTATCCAATCGAGACATGTTCATAAATTGAAAACTCTCTCGCACTTGAAAATTGATTGAATGCTCTTACCACTATCAATGGTCGGTGTTAGCAAAGATGTGGTTATAACCGATGATGGGCTACTGTTTCTGATTCGGTTCGTAAGTTTTGTGTCCAAAAAGAAGTCATGGGTTTCGGTTTCATCCTGTAACGTTGTCGAAATTGGAATGGCCTGTTGTGTTGTCAATGGTCTACGCGATGGTCGACTGTACTCGCGTTGTCCAATTGTGGTTTGTTCGTTTTCCTCAAGCGGAACCCGGGTGGACTTTTCAGCTAGTGGTCGTTGGCGTTGTATTTTATTATCTGTGGAACAGAAACACGAAAAATTCATCGTTTTTTATGGACATTTTTACTCAAAAATAACATCTACACCGATTGGTTCATATTTTTTTCATTTCTCCAAATTCTTCGATAGCATTTTTGTCCAATTTTTTTCAAAGAACATTCAGACAATGTTCATGTTATGTTAAATAAAATTTTCCCCAAAGAATCATCTTATGTTCTTCCTGCCCCAAAAAAAATTACCTTCAAAACGGTTGTTTGGTCGTCGATTCTCCGGATTATATGGTCGTTTTGGTCTGAGTGGTGATGCGGTTGTGCTTGACTCGAATCGTGATTCGAATGGTGTTGAAATGCGTGTTCGATTTCGTACACGGTTGCTATTGCGATATCCGCTTGTCGATGATTCACGTGGCACTTCGGTCGTTGTTTCTCTGGTGTATTGAATCAATTGTCCGCGATCTCTGGTGGCCGTGTATTCCTTATGATTTTTCGGCATTTCAGTGGCCAACACTTCATTGCTTGGTTCATCGAAATCGGACAATTTGATTTGATTGTTATTTGGTTCAGTATAAACGGTCGATGTGCTTTCGGTTGTTGGTCGTGGGCGCTTGCGGCGCAATTTATTGCGTGGCCGTGGTGTTGAGGTGGATGGTGGTGATGGTGGTGGTGGTGGCACTGTTACGATCTCTTCTCCGATATTCTTTTCGAAATCGGGGAATGGATCAACTGAAGCGGATTCCGTGTAGATATCATTCGATGGTCGTTTGATACTGGCTTCAATTTCATTGGTATTCGTCGGCTTTACCGGTCGCCGGTTGTAGTGTGAATGTGGTGAGATTGTAATTGCATCTTCAATGGTAAAGAAACTATGTGTGATTGCATTGTTCAATGAATCGGGCGTTGGTAAGAATGGTGTGGTAGATGGTGCCAATGGTCGCCGTGCTCCCGTATAACCTGGATGCATTACTTTGTGCTGATGATATTCACTTTCCATTGGTCGATTCAAATTACGGAAGATATTCGGTTTTTCCGTGGTGAACGAAGGTGAATTCGCAAGAATATTATCATTTGCCGGCCATCGCTGGAATATATGCTCATCGGAATACGATGGAGTCGGTGCTGTTGTGCTGGTATGTGCAAATTGACCGGAATTATATGCAAAACGGTTTGCATCTTGCAATGGTGAAATTGCCGGAATATTGTACTTCGTTAGAATGTCCATTGCTTTTTTCTGTTCATCGTCGAATACATCGTTGCCTGGTGGACCAATTGGCGTTGAATTTGTGCTTGGCACGGAATTGAGTGCGGATGACGTTGAGGCTGGCGGTTGACGCAATCGGAATCGAGTCGATTCGGTGTGTTTGTATGGTGGTGGCGGTACCAAATTGATTGTATACTCATCGTTCAACAGGAATGTATTCGAATAACTGTTTTGTGGTGATTCTTGGATAATTTGCGGTGCTGCGGTTGTGGATTGCTCTTGTTGCTTTTGCTGCACTTGGAAGAATGGTGACAAAACACTTGGCGGCACAGTTGGTAATTGCGGTAACTGCGGAGAAGATGTAGAATGTTTTGAGTCAATATCGGTTTTATATTTGCAACGAAATGGGAATATTCGATACGAAAAGAGAGTATTTTCGACTGGATACTTCAATCTATTTTTCTCATTTGTTTTTTTTTATGTTTGATGAACATTGTTAATCATAAAATTACGTAAATTAAAAAAAATTATCAAAATTAAATCTTCCTCAATCACTTACATAAGATGGTTGAGTTTCGGGCAATTGTGGTGGGCCAACTGGCTGTGCAAGTGGTCCATGCTGTTGTGGTGATTGCACAAATGGTTGTGAGTTTGGTTTTTGTGGGCTTGCAATGAATGTGTTGGTCAGTTGATATGAACCGAGACCATTGTGAGGGAAATACAGTGAATTTGCAAAATTATTCTTCGCTACAAAATGACCGCCGGGAGTTAAATGACCTAGAAACATGATAAAAAGACGTTACATTTAAATCATTAAGTGAAAAAAAAAACAACAAGGCAGAAAAAAGCGCGGTGGAAATAAGACAAATCTATTAACCTGCATATGGATTGCCAAGCGTTTGGCCAAAATGATAGTGGTCAAATGGTGCTGTTAGGAAATTGGCTCGAATACGTTGTTTCGGTTCGCCGCGTAGTATTTGCGGTGCGGCCGGTCCAAAATGCGTGAACGATGAGAGAATTTGGCCGGGAATTTGATTGGGTGGAGCTGGCCGGTGTGCGGGTCCAAATGCCATGTGTGGTTGGTATTTCGGTGGATTGGGCAATTGAGTCGATTTAAACATCGACGATGGTGAACTCAACGTAACATCTCTGTGGATTTCCGATTGGAAAAAAAAGTCAAACCAATTTTAGTTTTTATTCAAATGTAAATTAAAAGCGACACCAGATTGGCTCAATATGTTTTCAATCTAACGCATGCAAAATGACTGAATCGAATTTTTTTCCTACCTTAACATTGGCACACGGCTTGTGGTGGTGAATAATTGCAACGAAGGCATGCTACTACTGGCTTGGCTCAGAAAAACAGGCGGAACTTTTGACGTGGATGCCATTCCATTGAAGAATTTAAATTCGGATGGTTTGCCAGCGCTGATGTATGTGGGCTTGCCACCAAGATATGATTTCATGATCGTTTGTGGCATCACCGTTTGAGCAACATTCGAACTGCTCGATAGAAGATGCTGCGTTGTTGGCACTACAAGTTGAAAAAGAATAAAAATATTTTTCAATGGAATTCACTTTGATTCAATAAATCGGAAACGTTGATTTGAACACAATTTACCGTTACCATGATGAGATGGCAAAGCGCTGGCTGCCATAACGACATGTTTGGGTGAATTGGCCGATGGAAAAACGGGGAATGGATTCAAGTATTGCGTCACCGGTGGATGAAGTCCTTTGATTTGTCGCAGTATTTGTGCATTGTGATGGGCAATTTGTGCGATTTGCGCCTTATTCGTAGCGTCAAAATTTCCAATGCTGATTAATTGTGGAGCTGCCGCTGGTATTGCTACAGGCTGCCATGGAGGCTACAACCGAAAAACAAACAAAAAATTATGTCGTGGTCAACAGACATCTAAACCAGTTTTGAACGTTAAAAAAAAATCCGACACTTATTGGCTGAAATCAGTTGGCGTTCTCTGCGAGTCGTCTTCCGGTTTGATAACCGATGAAAACGGCTGATTGTTCCATACAGACAAAAAACTACGCCAGTTTGATCTCAGCGACATGTTCATACCGAAAAGCAATGAAAAAACAACAAAGTTTCAAATTCGATTAACGACTGTGACATCGCGATGATGTGAAAGTTGCATTGGAGGCGGTTTTTTTTTTGACAGAAAATTGATGCAGCTTGGCATTTTTTTGGGCTGTGCGGCCATAAAATGCGGAAAAGAATCGGGAAGAAGAAATTATGTGCGACGGCAATTAATGCGAACCCATCAAATTTACACACAAAAACACGGCCCGTTTACCGGATACTTTTTATCATGCGGTTGCCATTAAAATGGCATGCTGTGTGAATGTGCCGTATTCCTCATTGTCCATCGTCACCGCCACCGCCGTCGCTGCTGCCGATGTCAGCAATACCGAAAATGAATTCCGGTTATTTGTACGTTCACACACACACACGTACTCTGCAATCACTTCTAGTAATAATAGTAATGATCATTTATTTGTGATTTCAATGCAGAAAACGATCTCGTGGCTAATCAACATGGAAATATCAACAATGATACAGCAATCATTAAATCAATGCAAACATTCGGATAAGAATTGCACGCGCGAGATTTTTCTCTTACTCTTCTCATCATCATTTTCTTCTGCTATAGCCAACAATCGAAAACTTGTTTAATCTTTATTATATTATGATATTGACCAAAGAGTCATCAATAACGAAGAGAAGAAAACAAATACGTCAGTGTTTTAGTCGTGTATGCATCCTCTTTCTTTCATATCTCTCTCTCTCTCTCTCTCTCTCTCTCTCTCTCTCTCTCTCTTCATTGCTGTGTCAATTGCCCCGAAGAAACACACAACTTTCTGATTATCTTGCGGCACATTTCGCGCATCCATACACACACACACACACACACACACGCATCGGGCGATCACGATGCATTTCTTGATTCATACATTTCGCGCGCATTACTTTCTTTTAGACGTAAACACATTTCAGCATATTTTGCACACATTTTCGCGATAGAGAGATAGAGAGACCAGTTTCCAGACATTTATCTCAAAATACTCAAATAACGTATAAAAAAGAAGAAAAACGAAGCAACAAATAAACTTGTGAATGTCAGGCATCAAAGAGAGAGAGAGAGAGAGAGAAAAGCATGTACAGGAAACTAATAAAGACAAATAACGACAAATAACCGTTTCAATAAATTTCATCGGTGCAACACGAATTTGTTATTCGAGTGAATTTGTGCCAAAAAAAAAATCATACACGCAAGTCATTGTTATCACGGGGCGTTTCAGCGACGCATGCAAAACAAACATTTTTCGTGACATAATAATTGGTCAAATGAATGGAATAATCGGCCTATTGATGGTGACCCGAAAACAAAAATTGCCACACACACACGCATACCGAGAGAAGAGACCTTCAAGTTCATTTGAACCATTGTTTTGTCTGAAAATCCGTTGATTTCACATTATTCTATTGTTGCTCTAATAACGATCGACGCAGTTTCAGTCTATCGCACCACTTTATCGACCGAATTTCTATTTCAAATGATGTATCTCGTTGAAAGCTTTTTGTGTAAAAATCGCCCCTTTTCGATTGATATCTTAAAAGGAAAAAGAGTGAAACGATTCGTTGATCGAAAGAAAAAAACGATTGAGTTAAGTTGATCTTGAAATAAGCTGCATTCAATTGACTGAAGAAAGAGTGACTTATGATTTCATGTATTACATAGTTCTTTGCACCGCATTTGTCAATTCTAATGAGCTGTATCGTGTGTGTATGTTTTTGTTTCTTTGCCGTTGCTATTGTCATTGAGAAATGATGACGTTTTGAAACAACAACGGATAATATTGATTGCGAATTGCACAAAATTATAGTACTTTGATATCGCAAAATGTGCATAATCGGAAAAATGGTAAAGGCTGTGAAGAAATCACACGTATTCACTGCCACACATATATGTATTCGTCGTTATTTTCATATTGCAATTGGCAACACAGTCCCACGATATGTCAAATTATCGTAATAAAAGTGTAAGCTTGGTGAAAGAAAACCAACAGACAAAAAAAAACAAATGATTGAAATGCTTTGCATATATAGAATCGTGTTATATGAATTTAAGGCAGGCAAAAAACACAGACACACCAAAATGATTATAAAGTGTCTACAGGAAAACCGAATGACTTGGTACGCAAAATACTTACCGCATATTCAATAAGACGTTTTTCACATGAACAACTGTGTAAAATAGCAACGGCGCCTGTAAAAAAAAAAGACAGCAAAAATTAAACAAAAAATATTTATTTGAAACAGACGAAAGAAAAATGAATTTATGAACAAACAGCTTATGGATAATAAAAATAATAATAGAAGAGTCTGGAGAGTGAAACGGTAACAACAACAGCAAGAAAAATGCACTGAAATCTATTGACATGGCTATGAAAAATCCATTTCCAGTTGCTGTTGCTGTTGCTGTTGCCGTTGTTATTCAGTTGGTTGGCTGAAGCAATTCGCTCGAAATGAGTGTGTAATTTGTGCCATTTGTGCTCGACATAAAAATCATTATATTTTTATTTGCGAATTTCAATGTGCAGGCTTTTTTCTCTTCGCTTTGCTTCTAATTTTATTTGTTGTTTGCATTTTGGTGTGTGTACGTACGTACGTGTGTGTGTGTGTTTACCATTTATTCGAAACATTATGAGAATTTCGCTGACTTTTCTATTTATGGCGAATTAAATGGTCTTAATTTCTGAAATGTGTGCGCACACGCACCAAACAATAACAACAACTCTTGGCCTGTTTAATGCTTGATTATTAGACACACTAAATCAACGAAAAACAAACACGTAAAGCGAATGTATATAAAATGTGTGTTACACTTAATCACGCGTGTTCAAATCGGGTAAACGGGTGAGTAAGTTTCGTTTTCACTGCTGCTGCTGCAGCACAACCGCATTTTGCCAAAGCACGCATTTTTGCTATTGGGCCCAAGAAAATGCGTCGCCATTAGAATTTTAAATGCAAGACAACAAGAAAAAAAAAAGTTCGATCAATTTTCGTGTGTAATTGAACCATCAAGCATTGATTTAGTGGAAAATGTTAAGGTAATAACTAGCATTTGAAATGGTGATTTTTTGGTGAGTTTGGTTTTTCGGTTATAATTTCGACCGATTTCATCAAATTGATACATATAAATCTGAGAAAAAATATGTTAATTCAATTGAAGCACGAGAGCAGCGAGACGAAGAGTGAGAGAGAGAGAGAGAGAGAGCAAGCGAATTGTACGATTTCACAGCTCGTTGTGTTTGGCGAATGATGAAAATTGCCAGCGGCGGAACGTAATTCAAAAATCTCTCATGTTATGGGTGGTTTTGTCTTCACTCGCACGGACTCGCCAAACTATGATTTATAACCAAAGAGCGATATGATTCTTTTTGAATACATTTAATCTTGTTTAACCGTGTGTTTATTTTGATCGGACTTTTTTTTCTGTTTGATTCTCTGGCTATTCATTCATCTCTCTCGTTTTGCACGTCCAATTTTCGCACGTCGCGCACCGTTTATTTGTGTAGTTCAGCGCAAGAGGGATTTAAGTGCACACATCTTGGCCGCACACTATTTTTTGCCATACATTTTGTATGCTACTGTTTTTTTTTTCATTTTTCTGCCGATGATGAATTAAAACGTACAAAATGAAATTAGACATGCCATACTTTATAATATGAGCGTGCGAATACTGCCTCAGTTTTTTTGTTTGTTTCTTCGCTTCTAGTTGTTGTTGTTTTTTTTTCTCGTATAAAAACTGTGTTTTTTTTTTCTCTCAACTCTCGGCTGCTTCATTATGATTATTCATTTAAAGTGTTAACAGCTTCGATTGTGGTCTTTAATAGTTTTTAACGCAAAAATGCCACACATTTACGGTAAAAATGATTTTGCTTAAATGCCGTCATTAAGGCACATTGAGTGTTTATTATTTTTTCTTCTTCTTCTTATCTCTTGCAATGCCAACTATTTTTGCAGATTATCCCAATGTTACATGATGATACTTGTGACGAGGGAGAGCATCGTTTGAATGATAATAGTTTAATGAATGATGAAGGCTTCAACGGCGATGGATTTGCTTGTTTGTTGAAGTGAAGAATGGTTGTTTTGTGCGCAGACAGCGAGATAGAGAGAGAGGGAGAGAGAGAGAGAGAGGCCGAGCAGAGAGGGAAGAAATTCAAAACGAAAAATTTATAAAAAAAAATAAAAATAAAATTCAAGTCAAGTTCAGATGAGGAGGCTTTCTTCGACATCAACATTGCCATAATGAAAACACAAAGAGCTCATTTTCCCATCACAGAAAATCATCGAAAGCCACCATCAGCAATCGCTTTAAACCCATTTGTATTTCATTCAAGTGGCAAACCATAATTTATGCGTGTGTTGTTTAGCAGTCTGTTTTTAATACCATCATCTATTTCTTCTGTTTCTCGCTCGTTTAATACATTTTTGCTGATGCTGTTGCGGTTGCTTCCACCATTTATCACCGCCACCAGTAATTCTTTGTTGTTTCGTCGCGCATGTCTTGGAAATGAAAACGTTTCTTTGTTGTTTTTTCATTTTGCCACATTTAGCAATTGCAATCATCAAACACACAACAAGGTGATCAAGTGTTTTCGTTGATCGCACTCAGAACGAAACGGGCGCATCATGAGATCGGTTGATTTTTCACGATGGCGTGAAATCGAAAGTAGTGTCATCAAAGCAAACATACGACGGTAGAATGAAAGAGAAACAATCGTGTCTATTGAGTGAACAAGCACCGTTTTTTGCGGTTGTTGTTGTTTTTGCTGTTATTGTTGTATACGACTACGCCATCAGCTGGCGACGTACCGTACCGATTTCATTTTATCACGCTGACGCTGGTGCAAATTTCTTGAACTCTTTCTTTGGCGCGAAGGTACGCACGCACGCGGGGGAAAACTATTTAACAAAAAATTCAAATCCAATTTCGTGCGACATACAGAATGAGAGTGTCTCTCATTGAGAGAGAAAAGCACCATTCGCACCCGATGTGAATACAAAACGCGGAAGCACAGTGATCTTGGATATTGTTGGGTAAAAATTGAAAAGTTTTGTCGCAATTTTGCCATTGTATTCGTCGACAACAGTTAGCTAGTTTCAGTGGTGTCACTAACGTCATCGCTGTCATCATCATAACACGGATGCATTGTTAAAATAGACCGTACGGCATTTCAAACATCCGATAAAATTTATTGCATTCTTTGTAATAAATTTAACAAACAAAGCCATTGTTCGAATCGGGGTGATATACATAAGGAGGCTTTATGGCTTTTTACGTGTGTACACACACAAACATTGTGCGCTCGGCAATCAAATTCATTTCCATGGCTAAAAAAATTGACGATTCTCCAATAGAAATCGGTGAAATCATCCGCGTTTGATTTGAATTGTCTTCGATACTTATGAAATGGCTTAATTAATTCGTATGATGATTGATTGCCGTCTATTCAATAAAACTATTTAAACCTTTTTGATTTATTGCTGATTTTAATCCGAATCGAATGAGAATCATTTGAATTGATGACGTTTTCAATTTTCTTTCGATTCGATTATAAGATCGTTCTGATTTTTCAAAAAGGTCCAACATCAATATGTGACTTCTGAGAATCGACCCACATTTCGATAGTCATAGTTCAATGGCGTTCGTGATATGGTGCCGACAACCATAGACATGCTTAACAAGCTGAAGAAAAACCACTGTCAAAATATGTACACCGTACGTACAAGTGGCCGGAAGGAAAATATTGAGCCTAACCTTATATCGGTATACATATGTAAATCATTTTTGGAATTTGCGCGCAAAAAATAAATCCATTAATTAATCCATTGTTGTTAGAAATGTACTGTCAGGAAAACGATTGGCGAAAATTGTTGTTATCGTTGAGGTGCGATTTTTGTTTTTTTTTTCGTTTCAAATATTTTTAAAATTATTGTAATAAATGGATTACTAATGAAGTGCAAGCGAAAGCAGACCACAAAGAAATGGCTAATTGAAGAAATTCACTGAAAACATAGCAAACATAGAAAGAAAAAAACAATCACTTACCAATAAAAATGTGTATCCAAAACGAATTCATCGTTTGAAAATCAGTCGTTCGAACAATGAGCGATGATTATTGTTGGTTGTTTATCTATGTGTGTGGGTGTGGGTGTGTGTATGTGTTCTGATAGTCTGGTTCAATTTTTGTGTATCAAAATAGTGGAATTGATGGGCACATACGTGCACCACAATCAATTCACACTGCACGCCAACCAAGATTCAATATGGGAAAATTGTTCGCAAACACTCGTTTGGGTGTATTTGTGCGTTGTTCGTCCGAGAAAGGAAAAAACACACAACAACCGATTCCTCATACAAGCAAACCGAACAACAAACCGAAAAATCCGCACAAATTCCAATTCACTTGACTTCGTCTACCTTTTTCTTGTTGTTATGCTTGCTGTTACTTTCTGTTGGATGATCGTTCTGCCGATCGCGTTGCAAATACATACAATTTTTCTGCTTCGTTAACGTTGTTTCGCGCGCGCGCACATACAAACAAAACAATATTTTCTGTTGTTACCTCTTCTTCTTCTTCTTTTTCTTCTCGATTTTTTTATTTATTTTACTAACCGAACCAACACTAAATTATTTTTAATAAGTTCATTTTTTGTGCGCTGTCGAAGCATTCGTTTTTTGTCGCTTTTTTGTTTTTTCTTCGTGCTTCGCGGGAGAAAGATTCGATTTTGTGCTACAAAAGCATCTAAATTGGCGTTTGTTCTGATTTCTTGTTGATACTGCTGCTGTTGTTGTTGTTGTTGTCGTCTCGACGATGAAATCATACACAGCAGTTTTGGTTTCGGTTTCGTTTTTTTCTCGGATTGCTTCACTAGCTGAAAAAATAAAATATCTCAATGAAAATGACACTAAACAAGCTCGAATTAATGAAACTCTCGCCGCCAAGGAAAACCATCGACAAAAATATTTGCTTTTGGAATCCATATTGAATATCGAAGAAATAGAGACGACTCGAAATGAAAAAAAAAAAAATAAAGAGAAAAACACAATGAAAAGTGTATCAATTAATTTGGCGATGTATTGGTGGTCGATCGTCGACACGATGGATTTTTTTTTCTTAATACACTCAGGCAACATTCATTTCTCATGCGAAATTCAATTGGTGGAGAAGAAAAACCGCATTTGCCCCATTGCCAATGTACAAAATCGTGCAATATCGCGAGCATTTCTTTCGCTGTTGTTTTTTTTCTTCTTGCTTTTCCGCTGAAAATGGAAACCAAACGGTCATTCACGTATTTATGTACGCACGATATATAAACCAATATGGTCCACACATAAATTATTGTTTAGTGTTTAGCTTTTGATTTGTCCGTTTGCTGTTGGTTTTTTTTTTCCATTGGCCCGTTATCGATGGGCTGATTCATGCAATTCTCGGCATAAACGCGGACACGGACTGCATACAATTACACATATTCCGTGTAAAAACCGTACACTTTCAGGATTCCGGAGCCAAATTCAAATGACATGTTCGCATTTCGCTCAACATAAACGAAAACTTTTCTTCGGCGACAATGACGACGAAATGCGCATATGTGCACGTATCGTGCGCACATCGAAATAGAAACCGATGAATATGAACCTGTGGCGTTGAATACCAATTACATTTCTCGATTTGACTCAAAACAAAAACAGACACGACGCAAAAAAAAAACAAATATCCAAGTAGTTAGCATCATTTCTTCTTCTTGCTTTGTTTGTCTTGTAGCGGCGGCGCGCGAAGAAAGCACACCGAAATTACGCTAACAATATCTAGATTGTTGTAGTTATAATACATAAACAACCACAAAATGACCAATTTTCTTTCATTTTTTTACTTGTTGTTTAGCGTGACGTTAGAATTGAAATGGTAAAGAAAAGTGACAAGATATAGACCGATAGCTAGAGTGAAGTGAGCAGGTGAAAGAGAGAGAGAGAGAGAGAGAGAGAGAGAGAGAGAGAGAGAACAAAACAGACAAACCACTTTAATGAATAGCATTTGTTTCTATTGAATTTCAGAATGAAATCGAAATGGATGAAAAAGAAATTTTAAAAAGAAATAATAAAAAATGACCATTTTGATAAAATAGAGATATGCGGTGTGCGTGCGCGTGCGGTTAAAAACGACAATGAAAACAAAAAGTGAAAACTCAACACTCTCAATTCACACTGCCTGAATGCGAAGTGTTTGGATTTAAAGTGAGTTGAAACACATGCGCCACACACACACACACACACACATACACACATGAGACGAGGCCTGAAACAATGTATAATTTAGAGTAAATGGACAACATCTTTATTAGCGCACGACCGGCTACCCGTCGCCAGTGTGCTTAAACAGCTGAACTGATTCGGCCCATAAATTTTTCCTATTATCAGCACAGTGGTTGATTTTACATCAGACAAAATGGTGTCGAAATAAATGTAATCCAAAAGGATTGAGACCAAATTAACAACCAGTTGCTCTTTTTTTCTTTCAGTTAGCCAACAAATGTGAGCAAATTAAAAAAAAAATGGAAATTTCGGTCAAGTATTCGAAAAAAGCACAAATCATATCAACGTATTGTAATGAGCAGTTTACTATGTGTTTTTCCCCTCTATCCGCATGCAACGAGATTACCGGGCGACTAAATGAAAATGATGTAATGCTCCAAAATATGCTGATGAATCCATCGTCGGATCATGTAATCACCATTGAATATTCATGTTTGTTCATCTCGCGCTATTTTTTGACGGAGAAAAAAAAAATATTTCATTGTTTTGTCGACGATTCCTTTCGAACACGTTCACGTATTATATTTTCTGGTAATGAAAAATGGCAATATGCTACCGAAATGACTTGCGATCGTCGACAAGATCGTGCACGTCGCGTTACGTTTCCATCGATGGGGATCACACAGTGTGAAAAGTCGAGCATGAAAATTTTTGAAAGAGAATTTTCAAATGATATAAAGTTTTTGAATATAAACACACGATTTGTGTGTGAGTGTGTGTGTGTGTGTGCTTCACGTAATAACGTATAAAAAAAATTCAATTATCCATATCACGATGTGTGTTTGTTGGTGGATTCATTTGAATGCTAAGGCGCATGATCTATACTTCACCTGTTTGCAGAAGCACTGATTCATCAGTGGCCGGTAAACGTATTTCTTCTTGTTTAGTGATTTTGTTTTTTCGTTCACCGTTTTGTTGCTGTTGTTGTTATCTCAATCGCAATCACACTGCACTAGTGTACCACCGAAAAAAGGCAGTGGCTCAGCAAAATGCGGATAGTCCATCAAAATGAAACAACAAAATGATTTATGCATTTGGAATTGCTCTGGCACTAGACACGTTGAGCACGCGCATTTGCCTACAAACTTTCAAACAAAAGACGAGCCAATGAAAGCTTTATTTAAATGGAAATGGCTTAATTTATGTATTACGGGCTCTTTATCCGCAACCGTGTGTGTCTTTTTTTGAGCAGTGTGCTTCTTTGCTTTTTGAAGTGAAGTTAGAAGTGTTTCTGTTCGGAAAACCAGAGAGTATGTAAGTGTGGCTGTGGGCAGCTAGGCATTTTGCCAGTGCAAATGCTGACACAAATTATAACATCGTCTGTGGAAACAGTGGCACTTGGTTTTTTTCTCTCTCTCTCACTCTTCACTCGCTCTCGTTTACGGCAAATGAAAACATGCAAGAATTCGGAGAAATGCTGCCAAGCAATCCATCGAAATGAGAAGAAATTGATGCGGTGCGATGAACACAAACGACCATAAACCATATTTTATTTTTATGCACTGCACCATTTTATATTTATAACACTTTTATCATTAGCCAATTTGCAGCTCACATAATCGCACATAATACAGAGTATGGCGCATATATAGATTAGTTTTTGTTTTATGATTTAACGCCAACCAAATGCACACCAATCATCATCAGGTGGCTCATAATTTTTTTTCGTTTCGGTCGTTCACTCTTTTTTTGTAGTGAAGTATACACAAAGCAGTGCGAAAATATCACTGAAGCAAAGGAAAATGATCGGGTGAGGTAAGCGACCCTATTCGATTCCAGTAATATAATCCCAAATGGGTTGAATGCAACTGGTGCTCGTGGTTAAGCTAGCACTTGTGTACAGTCTCGGTCAAATAAACCACATCCAAAAACATTGAGCTTGGTGCGATTGTGCCCTCTTACAGCGATCGATACTCTTCTCAATGTGTACACATGCAATTGGATCATTTATTGACATCAATTTGTGAGACTTTAACTCAAAGACTTTAAGACGGTTCTTTTTTTGCTTTAAGACACTTCATCTTCCATCATCAGGTTGACTACAAAATATTGGAAGATAAATCGATGAAAAAGAAATCCAAACCAAATAAATAAAAAAAAAGCACCACGGAAAATCTCTAGCTAAATCGAACAATTGAAAAATTTCGATGTTTTACGTTTATTTCGTTGAAAATGTTCATTCTCGGCCTTTCTTTTGCTCTTTACAAATAAAAACAACAAGAAAATCAACCAAGTGGCAAGCATTTCACGAAATAAAACATCAACTAGACACGAAAAAAAGAAATACATCGCATCACTTATAACATTCGCTTATAATTATTTTCTTCATCAACTTTGAAAATTGGCTCAATCTCATTTTTCGTTTGTTTGGCGGCACATTTTCCAACGGTGTGTGCATTGATTTTTGATCGCCATTTCGGTCATTTTCTTTTCAAAGTCAACCAAGAACGCATTTGCACAGTTCAGCGATTGCAGATTCCGTTGTGCCACCTTTCATTTTCATCTATCGACCGGCATGCGTTTAGTTGTTGAAATGTTGTCACCTTTTGGGCTTCGACATTTTGTCATTGGACAAGCTCTTTTCTAACATTGAACAAGCATCGTTTTTGGTATACTTTTTATCAGGAAAAGAACACCGGATCAGTATCGAATATTGATTTAAACACCGATTTCACAAACGAATCTCTCTTTTTTTTTCGTTAGCATGCTTCATATACATTTGCTATTTTCCAGCCGGTTCGTTCGTTTGTGCTAGTCAGTTTGAGAGGTTTTCATCGAGCGCGCACGCACACAGCTGCACGAAACATGCATCGCATCGATGAAAATTTAGTACAACGTTTTCATTTGATACATCTTCTCTCCATTTGTCTTAAGCGAATGATGAACTGAAATCAAAATTACACGCAATTTGTCGATTTAATCGTTGATTCTCTTTATTTGGAAAATGAGGCACGTTTGTGATTTGTTTTTTTTTTTTTGTTATCATTGTATCACGATTCGAAGCAGACTTTTGACGGCCATTGATCGCAAGTGAGAGAAAACAAATGCAAAGAATTTGCTGGAAACAAATCGACCAACAAAAATGAAACAAGAAGAAAATTTTTGGATTCCATTTGTTTTTGTCCATATTGTTTTGGTCGAGTGAATTGGTGAGGTTTGCGCGGAAATTAGTGATAAATTTCTTGCCGCCACAGCATCAGCAGCCGTCGCGATTGATCAAGAAAAATGCCTATCGTCAAGTGTTCAAATTTTCATTGTTGCACGCATACAATAGCTCAGCGATGCTGCCGTGTGTTTGCAATTGCCGCAAACCACACATTCAACAGCAAAGTCGTTGGTCGTTTTTGTGTGCACCGTTTTTCTCTTGTCATTTCACGTGTAAAACACAAATTTTATGGTTTTTAGCGCATTTTTCATTATGTTTCCCGTTTGGCAGCGAGCCGACAATTTCCAGAGAATATGTGGATCAGATGCCGTAATTTTCTCATGACTGTCACAATGTGTCGACTGCGAACGTGTGCCCGCACACACGTTTTCCGTCATTTCAACACAGACATGGTGCGCGAATGTTTGTGTTGAATTCGTGTTGTGTCTGTGTTTGTCTCTTAATGTACGCTGGGTGTAATTTGTCTTTTCATTCTCATACAAAATTTCGGAGCATTTTGTCGATGATTGCAAATGCGCTCATAAAAATTGCGTATGATTATTTCAAAAAAGCTCGTTTGCATTCATATCTCTCGTACGTATGCATGTTTTGCTCTCTTCTGTTCAAGTGTCTTGCCGGGCTCGTTTATTTCCATGATTCTCTTTCTAGTTTTCGACTTCACCTATTTCAATTTGCACTAGATTTTTCAATTGAATTCGGAAAAACGACACGATAGAAGGGAAAACAGCAACAGCAACGCACATACTACAACTAGCACATGCATGGCACACTGGCGGCAATATTGCGTAGCATTGACTCAGTGCATATTTTTGAATGAGAGGTTCTTGCTTGCTACTCTTTTGAAATAATAATAATAAAAGGCATTTTTGCGGCGGCATTCAACGTATAAATCAATTCTTGTGCGCTCAAAGTATTCAATGAAAAAAAAAGTGAAGTAAAAAAAAAACCAAGTGTCGGCACAAACACTCGAAATATGTTTTCATTTTTTTCCACGTCGTGCCGGATTTCAGCACAGACCAACCGATTCTCTTGCTTTTTGTCAGTAGAATGTTTGAGCGCGCTGGTTTTTCTCATCCGAAATTCCAGTTTTTCAACTGGTCAACGCATCGATGCAATGCTAATTGAATAACAGTTAACGAGTTGCCACACATAATTCGATGATGGGTTATTTTTTCTGTTTGTTCACGATTCAATAATTTTGTGTGATTTTTTTCCTTCTTTCAGTTCAATTCAATTTGTAAACAATTTTCGCGTGTTTGTTTTGTCAATTTGAAAAAAAGCGGCCAACATAATGGGCAACATATCCACTTGATGGACAATGTGCAAATTGACTTAAAATCAAAGTAGTGCAGCCGGTCCCTGTGCAATTTGAAATAAGATAGACCAAGATGAGTAGATTTTTCTTTTAATGTGTCATGATGTTCACTTGCGGAATTCTTGATTACCCATTTTTATGCCAATGTATGCAATAAAACCGTTTTATCATTGCATAGTGACTGTAATTTTGTACGATTTTACTCGTCACTAGTCACCATTACACATTGAGCACACAAACGGAATAAAGAGGAGAAGAACAAAAAAAAAAGCAACAACAACAAAGATTGAAGAGAGAAAAAAAAGAAAGAGAAAAAAACAGACCGAATCATGTTCACATATTCTGTTTTGCTGCTGCAGCAACGTTGAAGTTAAACTAAATAATGGAAAAAAAAATATTTATATAGTTAAAACATTATGTGTGTGTGTGTAGAAGCGATGCACCGAACTATTTTCCGATTGCAGAAGAAGATTGGCTTGATTCGTAAGCGAGAGCACGAGCGCACACACACATACATTTTACAACAGTGCAACAAAATGCGGTGCATTCAGAATGAAGATAACGACGAATTACTATCAAGTCCACTTTGGCGAGAATCTCGCGTGTAGAATATATTGACCTGCATTTAGAAGCAAGCTCTCTTGTTGCGCGCACGCACAATATCCACTTCAATACTCACTGGATTCACACAAGCACACACCGCTCAGTTTTGTTAAATGGCAGGAATTGGAGACAAAAAGATATGGAATAGAAAAACATACACGCACACATAAACTGCACTAAAAATAGCAACAAACTAAGAATACGACTTAGAATCCGAAGAACACAACGCGCCTTTCAAATGCAAGCAAACATTGTCGCGCACGTTAGAGCGAGATCAAGCGAGTGAAAGAGAGAGAGAGAGAGAGAGAGAGAGAGAGAGCGTGTCCGAGAGAACTTCACCCAAACCGTGAATGCGCGTATGCATAAATGAACGTACGAATGAACGAGCCGAAGAACCTGTAAATAAGAACGTGATAAATAAACGGTTTTTACCGGATCATCATCTCGTTTTTATGAATCGTGCGCACGTTGTGCACTGTGTGTTCAGGTGCAGTTGTTGCTCGACTGGCCGGACTAAATTCATAGTGATGCGCAAATGAAATTGGTCCAAAGAGAATGCGTACGATTGGCACACGGCCAAAATGAAAGACTGAAATGACGATGGCGGCGGCGGCGACGACAACGAAGATAAAAAAATATATATCACAACTAATGTGTAAATGCAAACAATTCGATTGTAGTCCATCTGCCGCTCGCGCCATGAAATGCGTAAATGGGAATATGCTCTCTGGCTACATTTTCCAACAAATGCACACGCTCACGCAATTGGAGCAAGTTGCATCCGTTGCCTGTTGTGGAAACACATAAACAATTCGTGCACATTTCTTTCAGCTCGTCTTCAATGCAATTACAATTTGTTTCTCAGCGTTGAAATTGGGTTGAATCGCGTCACTGAATCGGATTCGAATGAATTTTGCGCTCATTAAAAATGCACATCCTCAAATCAATCGTTTCACATCTAGAATTGATTAAAATGTTTAAAATCGATGATAACATGCGGACACAGTGGGTGGAATATGGTCTTGTTTGCACTTCTTATCAGCGAAAAAAAATAGCAGAAAAATACAAAAACAAAATTGGAAAAAGTTCTGTATACGAAGCGATTGGTCTCATTTGAATAACTGTGCGCGATTGTGATCTCATTGAAATCATTGACTCAATTTCGGAATAGTTTCCCATATGAGATAAATAGCGGTGTTTTTGTTGTTGTTCTTTTCTCTTTTGAAAATGTCAATCATAATTGATTCGAACAAAAAGGGACCCATTTCTCGTTTCATTCGAAGAATCAAATGCCAGAACGAAGAAAAAAAAAACCAATTCACACAATTGATTGAAAATCAATTTCATCCGATTGTCCGGAGCGCAATTAATTTTCGAATGCGAATGTGTCGGCCACTCTGTTGACTGTCTGTCGACTGCACAGTTATTCCGAAATGATGTGTTTGTGTGTGTGTATGTTGGACAGATACAAATGAACCATTTTCAAGCAGATGGGGCAGAAAAACCAAAACTGACAACGAGAGAAATAGAATCCAATCAAAAACTAGTTCACAATTGAGTCACACTGTTTGTATTTCCACCGAGAGCGCGAGCGCAGTAGCATGAGTCCGTGCCCAATTATGCGTTTCTGGAGCATTTTTTTTTCTTTCCTGTTTAGTTAAGTTAGTTTGATTTTTTCTGTATCTCTCTCGTTTACTCTATGTGGTGTTTCTTCATGAAACCAACTCTTATCCCAACAGTATTTCATTCTATTTATTCTTGCTCATAATGTCATGTTGTTGTCTTTGTTTTTTCTCTCTCGTTTTTTGTTGTTGTTGTTGTTTTTTTTTCCAATCAAGTGATAAAATAGGTAGACACAATTCGATGCCGAAATCACTCACATACTTTGAATATATCGCTGATTAATTTCCTTTTTCTTTATGTTTCTTTCTTGGAAATTCAATTCAATCGATTCTATTTTTTTTTTGTTTTTACGTCGTCGGTTTCTTTTTGTTGTTGTAGTTAACAAGGCACTGTTGAAACTATTTAGATGGCCACCGATGGCGCGAAATTTTCGATGAAAAGAAACAACTTACTATATTGAAACACTCGAATTTTGAAAAATTCCACACAGTACTGTGTATAGATTTGGTTGACTGTTTCACATTTGACGACTCACTCGAGTCTGTGTCTTTATCATTCAACAGTTTACAATTGACTGAAGACTATGAGCGATTGCTTGTGGCTTGTTTCATTGGCAATGCCAGCCAGTGGTAGAGCGATTCACACAGCAGCAGCAGCAGCAGCAACGAACGCGAAACATACGGGAGAGATACAAAAACAAACGGCAAACACAGCGACTATGATCGCTTCGCACATAATCCATACAGATCGCTTCACTTTGCACGAACCCCATTCATTTGCGACGACAACGATGTGTTCGCATTTGAAATGCTCTGCTACCGTTGCCATCAAAAATTGACGAATTTCATCGTATGCACCTTAGGATTTGTTTTTTTCTTCTGGGGGCAGCGCTAGCTTCAACATTATTTTGGCAAACATTTTTCTCTGCAACGCGATAATTTGTTAGGTTTCAATTTAGAGGCTTTTTAATGAATTTTTTCTATATTTTAATTCATTTCAAATATTTTAATGATCATTTTCATGGAAATTGAAATTTTTTTTGTTTGTCCAATTTGAAATGAATTAAAATTGAATGCTGAAATTAGTTGTTGTTTGCCATTTCTGATGGAGAAAAGAATTTTGATTGTTTTGTGTAAATGTTGTAATTTTCTTGAAATTTGAAAGGTATTAAAGAGACTTTTATAACTGTATCTATAAGTATGCTCGAGCTTGGATATATTCGAGCTTGGGTATGCTCTAAGCCAGACACTGTGCTCGCAACACAGCCATTGCATTTTCATTTGAATTTAATGCCTTTTTGCTAGAAACAAATCATCAAAATCGAATGCTAAAAGGCAACAAACTAATCAAAAGTGCATTGGATAATAAAGATGCTTGAAGAAAACTTGCATTCATCTGAAATCATATAGTATTCGATGTCCGTCTGTGTGATGATTTATCACTGAGAGCGCGCGAACAAATCATAATCATAATAATAACGGTTCAAAGCAAAAGTGTTTGTTGAAATCGAATAAAAGAACTAAAATCAAAGCATAAAATATATTGAAAAAAAAAAGAATTATGCGTTTGATGTTGAATGTATATCAAAAATGGTCGCTTTCGTTTTCCATGGATGTTTATGGGCAAGGGCCGTTTTCCTTTATCGTCAATAGATGCCTTCAAGAAAATCGAAAAGACGAATTAAACGGAGCGAAATCGAAGAGCGATAAAATACACAACGTGTTGTGGATATAATTTTGGGCTGATTGCATTTCAAGGCAGGCAGAGAAAAAGAAGAGAAAAAAAAATAGAAATTGATCGGGTGAACATGAGTAAATTGTGGTCGGGCCGAAGACAATAAAACGTGTGTCCAATTAAAAATTCTCATTGTATTCGTTCCAAATTATGAAAAGCGAAATTGTTTGCTTTTCAAAAACGTTGGTTCGGTTCGTTCGCTTGGTGGCGGGCGCTTGTTCGTTCGTTTGCGCGCGCGTGAGTTTTTTTTAATTGTTTTGCGTGTGCCATACTCGCGCGCACAAGTTCGGGCGCATTTAGCACATACACATAGCGAGAAAGAGTGACTACGTGCTGATTAGCCGGCTGCTGGTGTTCTTCGTACGTCATAATTGCCGGATTTCACTCGATCGATATTCGATAGTGACCACTCGTGCACAGGTGAGAAATTCATATAGAAGAAAATCAAAGCACACAAAACGAAACAAACAAACAAAAAGCGAGCACCCAAAGCGACGACAACTGGAACTAATTAAAATAATTTCGCTGGTGTAGCAGCGCACATCAATCATCAAGCACGTTTAACGCCGCAATTTTTCGTACTTAAATCAAAATTTTCAGTTGGAACATCATGCGGACGTTCAGCGGTGCTTCTGCTACGACCGTTGCTACTGCTGCTTTTCTTTTCGCCATGCAAACACACACGCTCATTAGAATACAAATCAAAGGCGAACGATATCGAACAGAATTCACTCACTCTCATTTCGATCGAAAATCATTTCATTTTTTTTTGTTTCACTTACATTGTACTCGATGAATTTGAAATGAGCCAATAAATTTTTTTTTTGATATGTTTACAACGCCAACGTATAATAAATTCATTGATGATTCCGTTGATGTTGTCGCTTACGTGTGAAAGTAATTGGAATCTCCCTGCTATATGATATTGTTTACAATATGAAAAATCAACAATTTTGATCGCGATTTATAATTGACGCTCTCAATGTGATAAATGCGTCATTAATTTTTTATGAGTCCGCCGCTGTGTGATTATTTTGACCACCATGATGAGGTACATGTGGCGGTTGCCGTGAATGTTTCGAATCAAAGTCACTTGAATAATGCATTGTACGTTATGTGTGGGTGTGTGGGTGGAATAGTCGAAATGCCAACTCGTATTTGGTGCGTATTTGACCGATTTATGAAAAGGGAAACTGCCGGAATTAAACGGCGCGCACCGTATGTTGAACCACTGGTCAAATTCAGAGTCAACTCAAGCTTTGTTCCCGCGTGTCATTGCACTCGATTAGGCCGATGTTTGACAAAATAATTTTCTGTTTCTACTCTCTTTTCTAATTAAATATGGAGCTAATGGTGAAAACGACCCGAAGAAATGGAAAAAAGGAGAAAAAAAGACATTTTCAACTAAATCGCACTTCATTTGTTATTCAGAACTCGAAAAATGGTCGATAAATTCGTTGGAGCAAAATGCGTAAAATGTTCAAGCATAAGTGTTGATCACCAAATAGACGGAAGTAACCGTACTCAATCTAAATGTCACATAAATGGATTCGTACGCATTCTGTAAAACAAAAACTCTCACTACTCTCGAAAACGCTGTGCTTTTTAGGATCGCATAACAGAGAAGAAAAAAACAACAATGTACTTTTTAACTTGCAACAGAAAATCCAGCACATCGATTATTATTGCCATTTGATGAGACAACATCTGTACAAATTTTTGTACTACAAAAGACGATTTCTTCGAAAACATTTCTTTCTCGCTTAGCTTTTGCATTCACTCAAACACACACACAAAATATAATATAACAATTCAGTGGCAAGTCAAAATCACAAATTTTCGAAGAAGCTGCTGGAAAACGACAACGAAAAAAAAATGAAGAAGAAGAACAAAGATGGTAAACAATGTCATTGTCATTAATACCTCCATTTGAGCGGCAAGTACACCATTTTGCCACACAAGATGAGCGAAGACAAACGTTTTTTTTTTTTCAGCAAAAGCAAAGCATCTAGAAATGCTAAGACTAACCGTAAAACGAGTAATATACCAACGTTGTACGAGCAACTTTAAGACTATTAAATTTTTGTACACGAGAGCCGAAAAGAAAGATGAGTATGTGTGTACGGTTACTTTTGTGCTAAACCATTTTTCAATGTCACATTCGCTTTTTTGCATTTTCATTCGTTCATTTGAGTCGAATGATTTGACTAATGAAATGGTCTCTGAATGACATTTGTCCCACACGAGAGAAAAAAAACCCTTCAAGAACATAGAATAAGAGCAAGATAATGTTTTGTGTTAGTCAAGGCTTAAAGCATTTGGATCAATCCAAAACAACCGCCAGTTTTTCGAACCGAAAACAACCGCCGTCGAGAAGAAATGCAAAAAAGGTAATGCAATCCATGCACAAAGAAAAATCATAGACGCAACCAAGGAAAGACCTGTATGATGAATCAAAAGACGAACCTTCACACAACTGCTCTAACTTATGTATTTTTTTTTTATTGGCCAGCATAATCGGTGATGATTGCGTTGTTCTTTCGCATCGTAGGAACGAAATCGAAGCCAAAGTGATATCTCGTCATATTGTTGTTTTCCGTCAAATTGCAACAAACCGATACGATATGTCATTATTCGTGTGTGCATATCGCACGCACGCCTCATTAACTGAACCACAGACAATGGCAAATAATAACTGTAATTTCTTCCATTTTTCGTCTATAATATCAAACGATATCAAAACAAAACAAAGCAAAATAATAAATGCCAATAATACATTCGGTTGGAAAAGTCATTTGCTGCCGATTCAATCGCTGTTGATGTTTGTTAGCGAGAGCATGAGCGCACAATCGCGCACCACAAAAGTTGGTTGAACTTGTTGCGAGAAATGAAAACTCTATGAACGTTGCCGCAACAACATTATTAACATAAATCAAAATGAAAAGAATTAAAGAAGCTCGTGGAAGAATTAAAAATAAATGAATATATATGCCATATGAGTACATATGATTCGAATGCTCTTCACCCGAGAGAAAGAACACACAACGTACCTTATCGCTGTTATTGGAATGCGACTATGACTTTCTTTCATTGTTCATATCTCACTTGATTTTGAGTGCGCGACGGGCGTGCGCGCACGTTGTGAGAGAGTTTATCTTCATTTTTCCATATATTTTTCCCTATTCTCTCTCTCTCTCTCTCTCTCTCTCTCTGCCGGTTATTTTCTTCTCGACTCTGGCGTATACGCGATCGTCGTAATACCACACACTGTAATTAATATCTTTTGAATAAACAGAAAGATTACGATGGTGTCTGTATTTTGCCGAGCGAAAGAGAGAGAGAGAGAGACGTCAAAGAACCAGAACAAATGCGATATACTGCTGCCGCCGACGTCGAAGACGACGCGAAACTGATTTCTAGACAGAAAATAAATTGTAGTATTTGTAACAATAGCACACATCGCATTCATAATAGAGACATTTCAATTGTTTGTCTCTCGTGTGTGTGTGTGTGTGTGTGTGTGAGAATTGAAGTGAAGAACTAGAAAATGAGCCATTTTCTGCATCGGTTCACCCATTTGATAGCAACGAAAATGGATCTTAGGTCGAAATAATGTCGCACAGAATTGAGTTTTGAAAAATAAAAAAAAAAATTCGAAATGGAAAGTATGGAGCAAAGTTAGCCATTTATCG